ATTTGTAAACGTATTCTTATACATGTAGGTAGTTTTAATGTCCATTCATTCCTTAACGTCCTAAAAGCAACGGGTTTCCTCAACTGACCAAGCTATCAAAATATTTGTACCCCTACTTGGGTGCGAGTTGTGTCAAAGATGGGCACAAGGTCACCCACTACCAATGCAGAGGGAGAACCTAATGGCATGTAGTTGTTTACTTTAAGCGACAGATTTTATGTGGTGGCAACAAAAAAGGCGGATTTTGTATGCTTTTTACTAAGATATTTTTATTAACTTTGTAAGTTTTTCTTTTTTACTTTCTTTTGATAGTTTATCGAAATTGCATTTACACATACTCATAGAAGAACAAAGTTGCTTTTGGTAGCGAGAAATGACACACGACCAAATTCGTTGGTGGCCGGGAATTTCTGATTACCTTTACGCAGACATTTAAATACCAATTTATGATATACATTTCACAATTGTTCTGTAAGCAATTGTTTCATTTCAAAAACGTTGTTTGCCACTTGGGCAGTTTTTATTATGGGTAAGTATTTTGGAAAATACTTTTGGTTATTTTCTTTGGCTTGGCTATACTAGTGTGGGCGATAGCGGCTCCGGCTGAAATGTGAATATGTCGATGTAATTATCCGTTATTTTATATGTTACACAGACAAGCATACCAAGGTATAACAAGAAAGGAGCTCGTCAATATTTAGTAACCAAGAAAGGCAGCATCAAAGACCAGATTTTCGCCAATCTTAAAACGTTTAAGAACAGATTCTTCACCATGGAAAATTAAACAAATTGAAGATGCATGTACAAACACCGATAGCCAACAGGACACTTAATGTTGCTAATGACTAACATACACCAATGGACATTGTATAATCGTAAAGAAAATCAAATTATCGTTTGACAAATTTTCTAACGAAACACATAAGCATTGAAAATAATGTTGAACAAAAATTGGAAAATACTTAAACAACTTGTTTAGTTTGTTTTTAATTGTACTGACTGAACCTTTTTTGGCAAATGTTTCCAACCAATTAAAAGTTCTTGCAACCTATCATGGACCCTTTCCCTGCAAAATTGTCAAAAGGACTACTAAATTATCCATGTGCTTGATTTCAACATTTCCTGAATTAAATACTTTTTATTTCATCTACAAACATATAGGGCTATCTGTAACAATAAGTCTCTGCTACAAAGGCACATAACTTTGAGACATTTATTGCCTCATCGCCTCTTCTTTCATAGACAATAATAATAATAATAATAATAAACACTTTATTTCATGAAGGTAACATATTAAGAAATACAAATCTTATTTACAATATGGCCTTCAATTAAACAAGATAATGAAAGTCACAAATATGTACACACATATTAAAAACAACATAAACAACAACCATTCAAATTGACAGACACATGCATACATCAGATTCATTTAAATTGTATATCAATCAAATATTTTTTCATATTTCTTTTAAAAGCATATAGAGACGAAGACTCTTTAATATATAAAGGTAAATTATTCCATACTTGCATTGCATTATTTCTAAAAGTTCTTTTAACATATTTCGTATTAGATCTTACATGTATTATGTTTCTATTTTGTAGTTGATCTAAGTGTATACGTTTGCATTTTTTCGAAAAACACTATGATATCTGAAATGTAGGAAGGAGTCAATCCTTGTATAGATTTAAATACTAATAATGCTGTATGATATGTGCATCTATTTTCGAAAGTCAACCAGTTTAATTTTAAGGAAAAGCTGTAAAGAAGGCGTTTTAACTGGTTTACACAATATTATCTTTGCTGCGCGTTTCTGCAGTTTATTCACTTTTTTCAAATTCAGTTTTATTACAAGTACTCCATATAATACAACAATAATCAAAACAAGGTAAAATATAAGCATTGTAAAACATTTCTTTCATTTCAGCGGATAAAAAGTACGATATACGCTTTAAGAGAGCAATTTGTTTTTTGTAATTTATTACAGACGTGCTTTATTTGAACATTCCATTTTAAGTTTTCATCTAAGTAAATCCCTAATAATTTCTGTGATTTCGTTTGACTTAGGCATGTACCTTCTATATTTATATCTAAAGAAGGTTTTGATTTTAATTTATTTTCTGACCCTATTACCATGCAAGTGGTCTTTTTCGGATTTATTGCCATGTTGTTTAATTTACACCATTTGCTTATATTTATCAACATCACATTGCAGAGTTCTCTGAATCACTTCAATTTTTTTATTTGATGCATGCATAGTTGTATCGTCAGCATACATGTCTATGTTAGAGTGTGTTGTACTAAATGGCATATCATTAACGTAGAAAATGAAAAGTAAAGGGCCTAATATAGACCCTTGAGGGACCCCTGATTTCACTGTTCCACTATTTGAATGACTATTTCCATATTTGAATAAACTGTGTTCTATTTTTCAAGATATGATTTGAAGAGTTTAATTGAGGTGTTTGAAAATTTGTACAATTTTAACTTATGCAACAATATGTTGTGATCTACCAAATCAAATGCCTCCTAGCTTTTGGTCTGAAAATACTGTGCCTTTCAGACAACCGTTATCTAAATCATTAAGGAAGGATTCTATGAGTCGTATTAGAGCTGTTTGACAAGAATGTTTTTTTTCTGAAACCCGACTGACTTTCATGAATAATATTAGTTTCGTATATATAACTGTGTAATTGTGATGCAATATGCTTTTCAAAAAATTTTTGATATGGTGGGCAAAATTGAAATAGGTCTATAATTATTTGGATCTTCTTTTGGTCATTTTTGTAAATTGGAAGTACATATGCTTCTTTAAGTTTATCAGGAAAAATGCCATTTCTAATGGAATTATTTATTATAGAAGCTATAGCTATGCTTAAATAGTCACCACAGGCTTTAAGAATACGCGGCCCAATTCCATCATTTCCTGTTGACTTGTTTACATTTAGTTTATCAATAAGTAGTTTTACTTGGAATGGGCTGATTTCATCAATAATAAAAGTATGCCCTTGAAGTTTTTTTTTGTTCAGTTGTTCTTCAAGTGATTTGAAATTTTCTGTTTTGAATTTGGATTTGTTTAGGAAATCAGAAATATTGATAAAATGATCATTGATTGCATTTAAAATGTTATTTTCCCCAGTTATTATATTACCATCTATTGTTATGGAATTAGGCAATCTGATATTCCCGTTAGTACCATTATCGTGAGTAATATCTTTAATATTTTTCCAAAGCGTACTCGGGTCTTTCTTATCCTTGACGGCATTATTGAAGTAATTTCTTTTGTGTTGTTTAATTAAATTATTTGTTTTATTCCGCCACAGTTTATATGAATCCCACTGATTAGATTTTTTATAATTATCTCTTTTCAAGCGTGCATTTTTAATTTCTTCATCGTACCAATGTGGCTGTGTGTCCCTTTTTATACGTTTAATTTTGAATGGTGCATGCTTCACTAGAATATTATTTATCATGTTATAAAACAATTCTATAGCTTCATTTGGATCATTAAATGTCTCTATACAAGACCTCGGCATAACTTGGGATAATTTGCTTCATATCAAACTTAACAGTTGGGACTTCACTATGTTCCTAAATAATGTCTGACTTCAAATTCGAGGTCAATCCCTGTTCAGGAGCAAAGTAGCGGACATAACTGGTAGAAACTATAAGTGTATGACACTTGTTAATACATCTTGTGTATTTGACTGACCAAACACGTTTCTGGAGTAGTTTACAAATCTCCCATGCTGTTTTTTTTTTTTGAAAAAAGATAACTTGTTTGTTGCTTAATTTTGTTTTCAATAATACAATGCTCACTGGGCATATACTTCATTGATTAAAATAAAATAAGTGAAATTAAGTCAATCGCAGGGTAAGTTTTCAACTTTTTAAAACAGTAATATAGAACTCAAACCTTTTTTTTTTAAAAAGAAAATCGAATTCTACCCTCCTAACTCCCCTCTATATTACCCAATTTTGTATTGGAATTCTTTGCAGTCTTCATCGAGATATTCTTTCCGTCGTGGGTTCTGGTGTTGCCAAAACATGCAATGCGTATGAAGAAAATGTCACTTAACGGACTCAAAATACAGAGATTTTACGAAATCTCACCACAGACCGATGATTAACATTCGAACAAATCCTGATTTAAACATTTATTGAGATTTTGGCTAAAACTGCTCAAAATTCCATTTGAGCTCCATATGTGCTGAAGAGATCCATAAGTGTATGATATAAAAAAAATTAGCATCACCTTCATAAATATACTTTATTCTTTTGAGTATTATTGTGTAAAAAGAATTGAGTATCATTCTGCAATAAAAACTATTATCCGAAATAGACACATTTTCACGAGACGAGCTTGAATAACATAGTATCCATAAAGAAAAATTAAAGACATTCGGCTTACGAAAGGTGTTGATAATACAAGGTGTATATTACACGCAGATATGGTGGGAAGGCCTTACTTGTTTTGATTTATTCATGTGCCGTTCAATCATTCCCTTTTTATGCCATCATGCATTGTGTTGCAACTTTCTAGTTTATACAAAAATAGTATTATTTTTAGTTTTTATTACCCTAATTTTACAAAATTACCGTTTATAGTAAGGGCTATGTCTGCATTCTCACTTTCAGTTACTTGTGACTCTTAGGCCAGCCTAAATCACTATTTTATCTTGTAAAGTGTTCACTAATTTTTTTATTCAATTTTTATGAAATCCATGTTAATCTCGAGGTACTTATCTGGTCTCCCATCTCTAATAATTCCTGATCATACATATAACTGTATAAGACCACACTTTAAGAAAGTTGTCAGCACAAAGACACTAGATAATCTACAATTTACATCGGCAAATATTATGGAAGAGCGCAGAGTATTTTCCTCCAATATTTGTGATTTTATTGAATACCTCACAACAAGAAGTACTGCCTTTGGGTAATGCAATATCATGAGTTTGTATATAAGAAGAGGGACTACAATAATAAGTGACAAATCTTTTCATTTACAATGTTTATGTAACTCAACATTCAAATAGCTGTATGAAAGTCCTAAACAAGTTACATATGAATATTTCAGTTTACAATGTTTAGTTAACATATAAATTTTGAGTTACATATGAAAGTCCTAAACAAGTTATATATGGTAATAATCATTCAGAAAATATTCATGTATACTGTAGTGTACAGATTATTCACTTCATGTATATAAGATCTAAGGCTCTGAATCACAAAAAACTACTATATGTGCTGTAACCTAAAGCTACCAGAATTACTGTTAGATGATATTATTGCCACCAATGTGCTTAGATAGTGCATACTATGCTCTGTAAATATGTTGTGTAATATATTTTTTGCGTGGACTGGAAGCCAAAAAGCAAATAAATTTTGTCATTGTCGAAGAAGCTGCCCAAAAAAGGTAAAAAATGATATTCAAGGTATACAGGACATAAACAAAGCTTTTGCCTCTGCCCCAAAAGACAGGTAATATTATTCAATTAAATTATACAGAATTTGGGGAACTCTCTGACTGAAAAAGGTGTATCTGTAAAAGAAGCGATTGAAATTTGATATGATACAACAGGACAAAATGCTTCTTGTAAAGACTGCAGGCTATGTTTAGTTGTGGACTAATAACAAAACTATGTGAGCATTAATGAGATAAATTATGGCACTTTGCTTAATTCATTATCAATGTCCTCTATTCAAAGCAAATACTAATTTAGAACTGCATAAGCAAGAAGATATCTTAAAGAGTACAAAATCTTCCTTCAATCATCTAATACAGGCAGAAATTATAAAAAAAACAACAACATATATGTAAAATTAATCAAAAATGACATCAAAATCCTTCAAATTATAAAACACATTAAAGAAACTCTTGCAAGCAACAATAACAAAACAAAAATATTTCAGCACTTTTTTCCATCTATACCAGTGAATGTTGAATCTAAGTCATTGAAAGTAGCTTAGCTTGATCATTCTGAATTATTATACATGTACAGATTACACATTTTTATAAAATCAAGATTTACACATTAATAAGAATGACAAAAAAAAACAAAACAACTGTCAAATCAAATAAATTAGATATATTTGGTCCCTAAATCAGAGAAATTGATAAGCTGCAGGATATATAAGTGATTAAGAATAGAGAAAAATAAAGAATCCCTAAAAAATGCACAAAAAGACAAAATTGAAAATGTTGCAGGCTCAGTTTGATTGAGCTTGTTCATGAATGGTAATGGAAATGCAAGTTACCGTCCACGCCCCCTAGCACCTGCTAAAGCAGTATTCAACAAGAAGTTTGACTATAAAATTTCTTAACAAAGCAAATACAGGGCATACAATTAAAAGCAATCTTTTATAACAGCAATAGAACTTATATCATCTCATCAAATTCAGATATTTAAAACTTATTATGATATAGATATTCCTATCAATTTTCAAAAATTGAGGTCATAACCGATATTGAACCTAAGGCAACCTAAATTGTTGCAGTCCTACTAAATATTAATACATATCTATTAATGGCAAGCAGCACACAGGAGGAAAAAAATGCAGAATAGCATTATGGTCACATAACAATGCATTCAAGAAAAACTCCCATTCACTGATAAATTACGTTCTTTGTTTTAACAAAATCTCATAAAAGCTGAATTATTGTTTTTCACACAGAATCATCGAAAGTCAATGGTATTTTATTTTCTGCTGAAGGGTTCATGTTGATAATTACCAAATAAACAAGAAATGCTACGATAACTACAAACAGTAGTTTAATCCACATAGAGATGCCCCCTTTACTCTGTTTCTCTGTTGTCTTGGGTTTAGTTGCACTTGTGGGTCCATCACCTTGTTGACTGAAATTAACAAATTTACAGAACAGACTTTACAAAAATAACATAAAACAAGAGGATCATAATGGCCCTTAATTGCCCACCTGAATGAAGTTTAAAGGTATTTCTATTTATAGCTCTGGCAACCATCTCATTCAGCAGACCAGAAAAATGACATTGTTAGTAAAAAACCTGCCCAATGATCATTTCTGTAGAGTTTCATCAAAATCTATTGTGCAGCTGAGGACAAAATGCCATTTAACATTTTATCTATTTTTAGCACTGGCTACCAAACAGTTATGTAAAAGATGCCATTTAAAGATTTTTCCATTTTAAGTTATGGTGGTGATCTTGTTACAATTTAGCAATTTTTGGAGGGGACACTCAAAGGATCATTCCTGTATAGTTTCATCACCATTGGTGTAGGGGTTTAGGAGAAAATGTTGTTTTGATAAAGTGTCAAAGGCTGACCACAGATGTTGGACACAGAGGCATCACAATGACTCAACTAGGTGAGCTCAAAGAAATTAAAAGAATATCAATTTCCTTTGACATAAATCTACCTTCAGCATAAATCGAGGGCTATATCTTAATGTGAAAGGTTTTACCATAACTTTGCCTTTGAATTTTTTTTTGTCCAATAGGATTTCAAATTAATTAAAACATATTTACTTCAGTAAATTGGCTAGCTATTAATCAGTCTAGTAAATAGAAGGTTAATAAATAAATTTCAAACAATTTGTGTGTGTTCATTTGTAAATGCTTACTTATAAACACGAACCAGCATTTACTCATCAACAATCAAACCTTCTTTTTCTAGGCTCAAGCCAACAGTGGTAATATCAAAGGGAAGTAACTACCTCAGACTGTTTTTCATCTGGCATAACTTACATATTAAATCCAATTTTAACAACATTAAGCATGGAGACTACACCATTCAAGTAGGCTGTAATTACTCCCCTTTGATAATTTAATGGGAAATATAAAAACCATAATTCATTGGAATGCCGATTAGAAAGCTCATATAAATCAAATGAACTTTGTCGCATTCTATACAGACAATTTAAAACAACAAAACAAAAAAAAACTTATTTTTAATTTTTTTTTTTTTTAAAATGCATTTCTGTACTGGGTCACCGCATTTAAGGGACTTCAGTAGCCCCTTTTTTTAGTAGAATTTTTTGAAGGGGATTTTTAAAATAACAATTTTGGGTAAATTTAATTCTTTTAAACAATAATTTTTTAGAAAGAAATTTAAAAAAACTTTTAATATTTTTTTCAATTTTCGGGTTTTTTCTTTTTTTTTTTTCTTTTAAGTATGAAAATTAAAATGACTGTAAAGGACAGGGCTTTTTCAAGATTCAGGTTTTTTTAAACAATTTGGAATAATTTTTTGACAATTTTTCAAAACTTTTCCACAAACTTTGGTTGGAAAAAGGACAAATTCAGTTCTTTGACATTTAAAAAATTTTTATTTGGGGGAGAAAAAATACAGAAAATTTCAAGGTAGTAAATAATTTTAAACTTACCTTGGCACATTTCTGCGTGTAGCTGTTGTTGGGGTGGCTACTCTGGCCTGTGTCACCGGTGTATAACTCTGATTCTGTGTAACAGGTGTACTAGTATATTGGGGACCGGGAGCTGGTCTTGGCACACTCTGTGTATGTTGTCTACAAAAAACAGGAAATCACGTCAGTAAAAAAATCAAATTTTTTCATCAATTAACAAAGATGTGCTACAAAAATATCTATGCTGGACACGGACAGGATTTGGATTATTCATCCTAATGTCTGAAGTAACATAAAAACATAGCAGCAACAAATAAAACAACTGTGTATGGATCAGTAAATAAAGAATTTTTTTATTAATTCTTATATATCTTTGTCAAATCATAAGAATTTTGGTGGAAAATAAACTTTGCTGAAAAAATAATACACAAGTCGGGTGAAGAGGGCCATGATGTCCCTGAAATCGCTCACCTGTATATAGGTCCCTGGGTCAAGGCCAATTTTAAACCAGGGGCTTTTATTTGAACAAACTTGGTAGACACCCATTAGAAGATGTTTCATGATAAATATCTAAGCTCTAGCTCTTTGGGGTTTTTATAAGAAGATTTTTTAAGTTTTTATTATATACATAGGGAAAAACAATGACCCCCCCCCCCTAGAAGGGGCCAATTTTGACCCCAGGGCTTTTATTTGAACAAACTTGGTAGACACTCACTAGATTCTTCATGATTAGTATCTAAACTCTAGCCCTTTGGGTTTTTTAAAATAAGATTTTTTAAGTTTTTACTATATACAAATAAGGAAAATCAATGACCCCCCGGGATGAGGCCAATTTTCACCCCAGGGCATTTATTTGAACAAACTTGGTAGACACTGACTAGATGATGTTTCATGCCAAATATTTAAGCTCTAGCTCTTGCTGTTTTCTTTCGGTTGCCATGGCAACCAGAGTTCTGCTTGGAATTAAATTCTTTGAACAATTTTTAAAATTCTCCCAAATGAACATTCCTGTAAAATTTGGATGAAATTGGCTTAGTGGTTTATCAGGAGATGTCGTTTAAAGTATAAGTTTATGGACAGACGCCGGACGAAAAGCGATCACAAAAGCTCACCATGTCATTTTGTGACAGGTGAGCTATTAAACAACAGGAAGCACTGCAATGCGACGAAAACCAGGTTTTCAACGACCAAGTATTGATGTGACTGGTATTAGGAATGAAATATGGCAGTGAAGAAAAAATGATGCTGTTGTTTGCACCAACACAGAAAGTTGGTTTCAATAGTTCAAAATAAAATTATACCAGATATTTGAGTAATAATGCCAGGCTGTATTTTCAAGTAAGCTACACACATGCCAATTTAAGTACGAATAGGTCAAAGTGTACTAAAGTTACAGAGTAGAAGCTTAAAATTCTATTGTAAACAAGCGACCTTGACCTTGCTCCAAGATATCTAAGAAGCAATCTGAAGCTGCCGCTTGATATAGCTACCCACATACCAAGTTTGGCGTCAACAGGCCAAAGCAAACTCAAGTTATTGATCAGAAAACCAAAAGTTGATGCCTGCCTGCCGACTTCAGCATTACAATAACCGGTTTTTGTTGAAAACCTGGTTAATAAGAAAACCCCACGATACCTCTAATCTACAGATCTGCTTTATTTATTCAAATAAGTGTTCTGTTTGTTTCCCGATCTTCTATTTTTAGAAACCAACGTCACTCACTTGTTATAAATAGCTCTCGGGATGCTGTTTTGAAGAAGAATTAACAGTGATATGATGCACAAGAGGAAATAACTGAAATACTCTGTTGAAACAACACAGAATTGTTTTTCCATCAGAAGATAAAAGCTGAATACTGCATTAAAGGGTTATTATAAGTGTCTTAGTCTATATAATACCTGTATTTACCTCTGATAGATTTTACTAGAAAGTATCACACCTGGTGCTTCATGCCCTTGAGAGATCCTGGTCTAGTAAAATCTTCTCGAGTTAAAATACAAGTTCCAGATCAAGACACTATCTATACTAGTACATTAAGTATTTTAATACCTGTAATTAAACTGTACTTCTTCCTCTTCTACTTCTTCTTCGTCCTCCTCTTCTTCAAATAAACAAAATTTATTTTGAATTATATATATTTATTTTTATACAGATTATCATTCCTACACCTCAGAAATATGAAGGGCCACATACGTCCAGCTATAAACATTATGATATAGGTATAGATAAGTTATTAACAATCATATGGAAATAGAAACAATGCATGTATAATGTAACAGATATAAGTAAAAACTGTTATTATATACATAGAAGTACAGTTTCTGTAACATTATGTTTCTGCAGCAACCCTAACAAATTAAGTTAAAAGCTGGGAAACATTTTTTTACATCAATTAAAAGGATTAAGCTTACAATGTAGCTATATGTTGTATTTGATGTCGAGTTATACACATGTATACAGTTAAATTTCTAGTAACTTACCCTCAGATTCTTCTGTCTCAGAATGTGGGGGAACACCTCCTGCAGCTATCACTTTGCTCAATTTCTTCTCATAAAATAATCTTGTAGAAGCTACAATAAAACAATTTACATATTATATAAATACTATCTTATATATTGTTGTTAGAGTTGGGTACCGCCAGAAAGAAAATACCACGGTATACCATGTTTTTTCCCTAAAAAACCACGGTATAAACCACGGTATACCACGAATTTTCATTCTACGCCATTAATTTTTATCTCTAAAATAAGTATCAAGGTACAGTACAGCTCAAGCAATTTTTCCACTTTCCGCTCAGTCACCGCGGACACGTTTAACGGCGAGCGGGAAATCGCGGGGGAAATACTATAGTAGCCACAGTGACAAATCACCGCGGACGGGTAGTAAAAAAACCCCGCAATCCGCGGTGGAAAATCACAGAGATTTGCCGTGATTAATTTGCATATATATGTAAACGTTCCCGTAAATGTACAACGTAGTCCTCTAAAAAAAAATCAATAACACTTAATTGTTGATTTTAATTAATAAAATTATTGAATAAGCTCTGCGAAATTAATGTACATTTACCAAAATCACAAAAAAAATTAGTGAAAAAGGTTTCAAGAAAACGGAAAAACGAAATATTAACGAAATCGGTCAACATTTTCGAGAAAATTAAACAAAGCTTTTTAAATATTTTTTTAACAATTTGAATAAGAAAAGTTCTATATTAATTCAATGTTCGTGCGCACGATACATTTTTATCACTCGAAAATATATCCATTGATTAAAGGCCGTGATGTATGATTTACAAATGTAAGAATTGTGTTTTTTCTTTATTATGTGTTTTTTCTTTATTAATCATTCCCATTTTTAAGTGATATTGAGTTTTGTGTAATAAATATTTCAATAGAAGTTAAATGAATATCCTGTTGTTTGTCTCTATTCACCCATATTACATATGTTGGAATAAAAGGATGAACAAATGTCGTCTATATATATAAACAGGTTTATGTCAACCCATACTTTCATAGTGATTTGATTGTTCTTTTATTTCATTTCATTGGTTCAACTCCGATATTTAATTGAACTTATTTTGAAAGCTGTGCTTTGATAAACATTAGATAAAAAAAGATAAAGCAATTTTCCCCAGTTACCTGACGGCCACACGTCCCAATGGTTAATTCCGTTCTCCCTCATGAAATCCCGGGCCATCTTTGACTTGTGTTTTGGATCGTTGTCCATTTGAAGTCTATGTCCGTTTGGAAAAACAGATCCAATGAATGGCAACGCAGCATCTCGGAGAATCATTTCTGTAAAAAATGTCTTCTCCATAATACCTTCAAAAATAACCAATTTTGATTTGCCTCTGCGGCTAATTCCACCCCATACATGAACTTTTAAAGGATGTTTAGGTTTGGGTATAGTCTCTCTAGGAGTGTCTTTACACCTGTACATCACTTGTTTATTTTGATGCAACTGCACAGAACACTCGTCCGTGAATATTATATCACAAAGTGTGTCATTTGAATTAACTAAAGTTTGGCAAAAGTGTATCCTCTTTTCTTTGTTCGTATCCCTGACAAGCTGTCCGTATCTTGGGGAAGCACTTGTGTAGCCAACTGCACTTATTATTCGCTTAGTTGTTGATAAGGATAACTCGTAGCCGTCACTTTTCAAAGTTTTGTGTACATTCGTGGCAGATTGCTGGGGATTTTCACGTAAGGTCTTTTCAACGATTTCTGCGTCTCGAACACAAACTTTCTTAAATATCCCCTTTTTTGAATTTATCACTCCTGGCACAAAATAGCCGGAAATATACTGTTTACACCAGTAATTTACTTGCTGTCTACAAATTCTATGTCCCTGGCTATTAAGATGTTTAACAATACTGAAAGTCTTAAGTCCCTGTTCTTGTAATCTTATAATTTCTAATTTCAAATTATGAGAAATTTTCCCCATTTTCCAGTAAATGAAAGTACATGTAATAAGCTCTGTGCAAGGTAAGTTTTGTGTAAGGTAAGTGGTATACCTATATATATATATACATGCAAGGCCGGTGGTGTCAAACAGGAATATTGTGTATATATGTCAATATGAATACATGTACACGCACCTTGTGTATTCCATGTAAAACATGTCATACTGAAAAGGGGGAACATTTGTTGACACATACAGTATAGAAATCACAAAATAACAAAATCACAGGGTGACATTATTTTGACATGTTCTATATATATGAAAGAAATGACCTTGCACCAGTTTGAAAAAAAAAGTTATCCAAAAAATTATATATATATATATATATATTGCTGTTTTGAATTAATGTGTTTATTCTACGTTATTACTTTATCGAATGACAGGTAAAACGATATAAATATACATGAACATCTATCTTGCCGGTTCATACTGACCTATAACAAAAAAATACTCAATTGTAATTTATAATTGTAAAATCTGTATCTCTGAAGAACAATTCAATATGAGAGCGTATGGCGCGTGCATGAATGCGAAATTTTATTCCGTTCACGTGCTGCATTTGTTTTAAGGTTTGACAAGTTTCATACACATTGAATGTTCATCGGCCCAACAATTTTCCCGTCGTAGATATAGATCGTAAAATATATTTCATAAAGTGTATACTCTTGTGTCATATTAAATAAAAGATATAAAAGCAGTTTGATTACATTCACATTAAGTCGTCAAGTTCATATATTTTCATAATTATTTTTTTTGTATTTCATGATCAATATGTTTAATTAGGTGAATCAGGTATATATATTAATATACGTACCTGGGTGAATAAGTTGTGAAAAATATGAGGAAAATTCACACGCAAATCATTAAATTTTGTAATTATTTGCATACGACAGGTGTCACGTCATTTAAATACATAACATAAAGATTTTCTTCTTTAAAAATGTGTTTGAGTTCGATATATTTTACGTGCGTAGAGTAATAGTAATTAATGCCCCCCGTGTAATAAATAAATAAAGGGTCACCCGAGAGAGCGAAATGCCGCTGCAATATTTCACAGTGATCCGCGGTGACGATATCCCGCAGCGCAAATTTCACCCGATCGCGTGGACGAGCGGAAAGTCACAACTGTCGCAGGGACATCGCGGTGACAATCCACCCGTAAAAAAATCGCGGGGATCGGCGGACTTTGGAAAAATTGCTTGAGCTGTACTGTAGGCTGGTATAGAATTTCAAATATTAAATTTAAGCAGATCTATAAAATACAGATTAATCAAAGCATCATTTAACTTTTTTCAATCAGGTACTTTCGCATGTTGACAATCATAAATTAATTGGGTCATGGATCAGTTCTTGTTGTTTTTTTATTATTACATATTGGTCTCTTTCAACATTTAACAATTGTTATATAAATTGCACAGTTAAAATGGAAAAATAAAATGTTTTTGTTGCTTATTGATTAATAAAATAATAGGTCAAATGCACGATAGCCGATGACAAATATTTATTTGTCGGTTAATTTTATAACAGAGTCCCACCTGCAATTTGTAAATTTTTTATTGCAAGGGCTAAGTATTTAATTAATCTGTGTCAGAAACCAAAACAAACATGTACCCCAAAAGCAAATTAAAATTATCACATAGAAAACAGCTGACCATGTTACTGCTTAATTAATATTCATTAGTTGAACGAACATTACTTTTAATCCAGTTTCTACGCCATTCTATAATTAGTTAATTGCTATGCGCATGCAGTAAGTGCGTGACGTAAGGAAAATCCCTAGCCTGATTGGTCGCTATTTATATAAATACTTAAAATAGTAACACCCTAATTTTATGCAAGGCATGCCCTCATGAATTATCAAATTTTACGATTAGTTTTCGTATCAAATAAGCGATATTTGGACAAGTAAATGTAAGTCGACAATTCTTGCTTCTTCAACTGAGATCATGCAAGTCGACAATTCTGGCTTACATGCGGTAATCGATAAAGCATTCAATTTTTGCTAAGAACTATCGAAGAATGATAACAGTCGGCGAAAGCTGTTTGCAAAAAGGTTAACTCAAAGAAACATTGACATATACAACAGAAAAAGTTTTTTTATTTAGTACATTTTACGGATCTGTAATTGCTTTAAATTAGAGCTAAAAGTACCGGTTTTCCAGGTCTGTACCGCGGTACGTACCACAGATGTCTCGGACCGTGGTTTACCGGTATACCGGTTAAACCGCGCACATCTAATTGTTGTTACTTGTAAATGATAACAACAAATACACAAACAACTCAAGAAAATTGTAAACTGGAATGTTTAACTTTTAAAATGTAATAACTTGGTTATGAAATTATGTAACTTGAAATAAGTAGAAATTTTATCAACTTATATTGTATAAAATCTAATTAAGAAATTACCCATTTACCTTTATCATTACAGACCAAAATAGTAAGCGGATGCCATGATGATTGTTATTATGTGTGAATTTAAGAATTCATGCAGATTTATATATCATTCTGTAATTATATTTCCGTTTCTGTGCAATTCAGTTTAGAATTAACCTTTAACCAACTGGAAATCTTAACAACTTAATTTTACGTTTCTAAAAAATCTCTATTTTGGTTTGATTGCCCCAATTTCAAAATAGTTGAGTTAAAACTTAAGTTTTGTTTGTTTGTTTGTTTCATTTAACGCCTTTTCCCAACAGTATTTCAGTCATATAGGCGGGTAGTTTCCTAACCATCGTTCCTGGAGAGTTACACCAGTACTAGACTACCTTCCTCCGCGCTAAACTACCAAAGCATCTCCCGGGGATCGAACCAACGCCAGAGAGGTAACTGGATTAGAAGTCATCGACTCTAACCCTTCCACCACGGAGGAGGTTAAAAAAAAAATAAAAAAAATTAAGTACTTACAAACAATTGGTCCAACATTGACACCATATTCTATCAGTTGTTCCCTTAATTCATCATCTGTTAAATCAGCAATCTGTGTAGCCATTTTTACACTCTGAATTGTAAAATGGTGTTCTCTGCAAGATTAAAATATCAACTTTGTCTTACTGTATGTAAATTTGTTTGAATAATCAACAATAATCTTTCAATTAGCGAAGAGATCCAATCAAGAAATTTGTCTGATAAATATTTTATCTTAATTATCCATATGAAACTCTTTTTACCCTAATGAAGCATTACACTTCTATATAGGTCTACTAGGCAATGCTATAAAGCCTATATGCCAAATAAAGAAGCCATGGGCATGGTAGTGATCCACAAAAATGATGTGCTTCCCTTTACATTAGTCTACATGAAGCAAATGACTCCAGGGCCAATTTGACCTGAGGGTCATGATTAATATATCTTTATATTGGTTCAAACGATACAGAGTTGACACGATTTTTTTTAATTCATACAAAATGACTTAAATTATTTTAATATGACCTGCATGTGTACAGTGTACATGTAATTAAATTTGCTGAAAGATCTGTGTTTGGGTTTTTACAAATATTCAAGCTATATTGAATCAGGGTATGTTTCACTAAAACTGTACTTTAAATTATTTACCAACTCTCGGCAACTTCATGTCATGTATCAAATGTTCCCACAAAGTTTCATAGAAATCCTATGGAACAGAATTTATTCCATCTGGCTTGATGATATTGGAACTTACATTAAGCTTGGTTCCAAACTTCTTTATGATAATGGAAAATATCATGTATAATTATTACTGATTGCACTTTCATGTAATTGCAACTTTGTGCGTTCCTTTTTGAATAATCTCACTGACATATTTTGATAATGTTTAATTGCATCTTCCTTTAACCCTTTCCCCCATGAGCATATTGTGAAAAATGGCCGTTTTCACTGAAAAGCCTCCTGTTACAAGTTCAAACTGCTATGAAACTATGAAAAATGCTCCAATACTAATCAAACTTGGCACAAATGTTGACTGGACCATTGCCTTTGTAACGACATGCTCCGTCTTAAATTTCCTGTTACCATGGCAACGAGGGGACATCTCAAAATTGCCAAAAATCACTATTTTGCCTCGATTTTTTCCATCAAAATTTATTTCAAAGTGCAGCAACTACTCAAGGGATTGAGATAGAGTCAAAGGCTTTTCAGCGTTGGTTAAACGTTACATTATGATCGACCTGGGGTCATTTTTAGCCTCTCACAAGTCCAAAATTTTCTTGGCGATGAGGGGGACTCCGCCCCCCTTCAAACCCCCCTAACAGAAGGGGGCACATCCCCCTTCTGGCAACCCCCTGATGTATCTTTTGGATGGGGGGCGGCGCCGAAAAAGTGCTCAATTTTTTAAGCAACATTTCTCAAACGAAAACTTATGTTTGGGGCCCAAATAGGACATATTTTCACTATTTCAGGCCTAAAAAAAGGGGGGGGTCGAAAGTGCGTTATTTCGCGTATATATGTGGTGAAGGGTTAACAAACAAGAGCTGTCAGAAGGACAGCGCGCTCGACTTTTTTAGTGCTTGCCTATAAAACAAAACTTTGACAGTTAAGGGCACACAAGACTTTAACTAGGAATTTCTAAGTACAAATCAAGAAACATTTTCACAGAGTTATCTTCTCTTGCTTACAGATAGGTCTCATGATGGCACATAAGAACTCCAACTTCCAAAGTAATATCTCAAATGGTTAGGTCAACAAGTGGACAAGAATGAAAATTTTAACTGAGTTTCTAAGTCAAAAAGGGCCATAATTCAAATAAAATCCTTAACAGAATTACCTTCTCCTGCCCATGTTTGGGACCATGATGGTAAACAAGTATTCCAACTTTCAATTTGATATCTCAACCAGTTCAGTCAAAAAGTTGACTGGTACAAAAAACTTAACCAAGATTCTAAGTCGATAAAAGGCCTTAATTTTTAAAACAAATCCCTGACAGAGTTACCTTCTCTTGCGTACAGATGGGGGTAATGATGTGAAATAGCATTAAAAGTTTCAAAGCAATATCTCAAAGGGTTAAGGCAATAAGTGGATTTTACCCATATTCAATGTATTTTCTAAGTCAAAAAGGGGCATAATTCTGTCAAAAACCTTGACAGAGTTATGTCCTCTTGTCTGTTGATGAAGGTCGTGATGGTAAACAAGTATGGTCAGTTTCAAAGCAATACCTCCAATGGTTTTGAAATAAAGTGAGGTGGTACAAAAAACTTAACCAAGCTCAATACACTTTCTAAGTCAAAAAAGGGCCATAATTCTGTCAAAAACCTTGACAGAGTTATGTACTCTTGTCTGTAGATGGAGGTTATGATGGTGAACAAGTATGGTAAGTTTCAAAGCCATACTTGTAATACTTCTGAAATAAAGTGGGGTGGTACGAAAAACTTAACCAAGGTGTGACGCCAACGCCGACGCCGACGCCGGGGCGAGTAGGATAGCTCCCCTTTTCATAGAAAAGTCGAGCTAAAAATGATGAAAAACTTTGGAATCCCCTAAAAACTAGTTTTTCCATGTTAACATGTCGTATTTCACCTAATTTTGGTGAAAAATTGTTGTTTTGTAACATTTAAAATTTTTTTAGTTAACCCTTTCCCCCATGAGCATATTGTGAAAAATGGCCGTTTTCACTGAAAAGCCTCCTGTTACAAGTTCAAACTGCTATGAAACTATGAAAAATGCTCCAATACTAATCAAACTTGGCACAAATGTTGACTGGACCATTGCCTTTGTAACGACATGCTCCGTCTTAAATTTCCTGTTACCATGGCAACGAGGGGACATCTCAAAATTGCCAAAAATCACTATTTTGCCTCGATTTTTTCCATCAAAATTTATTTCAAAGTGCAGCAACTACTCAAGGGATTGAGATAGAGTCAAATGCTTTTCAGCGTTGGTTAAACGTTACATTATGATCGACCTGGGGTCATTTTTAGCCTCTCACAAGTCCAAAATTTTCTTGGCGATGAGGGGGACTCCGCCCACCTTCAAACCCCCCTAACAGAAGGGGGCACATCCCCCTTCTGGCAACCCCCTGATGTATCTTTTGGATGGGGGGCGGCGCCGAAAAAGTGCTCAATTTTTTAAGCAACATTTCTCAAACGAAAACTTATGTTTGGGGCCCAAATAGGACATTTTTTCACTATTTGAGGCCTAAAAAAGGGGGGGGGGGGTCGAAAGTGCGTTGTTTCGCGTATATATGTGGTAAAGGGTTAAGGACAGCATATTTTGTTCTGTGTTACAAAGAACATTCTTTACAATTAGATGTAAAATGATACGTTCCCATCAATACCTTTAATTTGTTACAAATCAGCCAATTGAAAATTGTCGACACTATTTCACCATTACAATTTTTCACCAAAAATAATTATTTTTGATCAATACTTGGTGAATTTGACGTGTCTTAGCATTTATCAATTACATTCTTCAATATATTCATCGATCACCAGGGACTACCTTGGACTGAAAATTTAGGGAGAAGTGACTTCTCCCTTCAGGAAAAATAGGGAGAAGTTTTGAAATTTAGGGAGAAGTGATCATCAAATCGAGTAATATCATTGGATTTTTTTTCTAATTTTATTTCACAAAATATACATGTACTACTTTATATGTACATGCATATAAAATATACATGTACAGTCGAGACTGTCATATGTGACTTTCCAAGGGATCTTATGAAAAAGGTCACATATGACAGGGAGTCTCTTAATACAGTCTCAAAGAAAATTAAATTTAAGTATCATCTAGCTGTCTATATACCATTGTGACTTAAAGATCCTTTATGTTTTGTGACTGATATTGTTACAGAGTGTATACCACACTTGCAAAAAAATATATATATGGATATAATTATGCAAATAAAACAACTTTCAAACATCAAAGAATATGTAAAATGTGTACTGAAAATATTTGTGCACATTATATTTAATCAATAAATTACATGCATTGATTACTTATTGGAAAATTTAACTTAGAATTTATAGAAAATAAAGTTCTAATTACCTCCCTTTAATGGCCTTTATTTATATTAAATGTTAAATTGGGTGATATCTTTATAAATAATGCTTATTTGAACTTACAATATTGACAAATCTTAATTTGAGCATCATATTTATGAAATAAAACCATGAAAAATTGTGTTACAGGATCTTTCAACATATCCATATCCAAAGCTTTTTCTGGTTTAGTATCAATATTTTTTCCGTATTAATTATGCAGTCATAGAAAGGTAAAAAAAAAAATATGCTGCCTAAAAAATCTTCCGTGGGCACTCTATAATTAAAAAAAAAATCTAACACAAGTCTTTACCAGTTTACTCAGGCCATAATGTACATTACACGAACATCGATTGCGTCATGCTTCCCATAAACAGACGCTACGTCACTTGATACCTGCATTTATACATGTCAACTGTGTAATTGAGATAGAGGTGTGTAGAGTACTAGACTTTGTTTGCTACTGGATTTTTAATTGGATTTAAATTTTTTGGGGCCCTCTGGGGGGTTAAAATAGGTATTTTTTATCTAAATTTAACGGAAAATTTAAAAAGGTGTGAAATCGTTTAAATGAAAAAATCAACCAAACATTCATTGGGACCTGAAAATTGGGGGTCGCTTGTAAACATACGGGAGTCTTTTAATTCAGCCCAAATTTTTTATGGGAAAAAATAGGGTTGGAGTACTGAAACAGGGCGGATAAGACGGGGAGTCTTTTTTAAAATCAGGGGGTCGCAAAAGGCAGTCTCGCCCTGTATAGGGCATGGAAAAATAAAAAAAATGTGTTTTTTGAAAAATCCCCGTTTTAATGAAATTTAATAAGTTTTTAGTTGCCCCCAAAAAATTTTTATTTAAGCATTTGATTTACATCAACACAACATTTTTTAATTATTTTTTTTTAGGTTCAACAGTTTCTGACTCTAACTTTTAAATGCAATTTATTAAGAAGAAAAGTTCTTTAATTCATAATAATTAATATCCAAATTCTATCAATTTACATCAGTTTTAATGATGAATATTACTATCATAAATGTAATGGTGATAACAAACGTATATAGGATATTGTAAATCAAACAGGACATATAGGGGAACTAGTAAATCAAACAGGACATACAGGGGATATTGTAAATAAGACACAAAAAATATACGTTTGAGGTAACTTAATTATCAATTAGCTGTTTTTTTCATGCTTTTATCATCTGCTGCATTCATATCAGGGTCTTTCACAGCTTTAATTTACCGTATAATCAATGCGCTATTTTTAGCGATGTGGATTTCCAAGTGTGAATTCCAAATGTCGCTATGGCCACGCTTCAGCACGTGTGCTAATTACGTCAGATTACACAATTAAATCTGCCTCTAGGCAGTATTATCGAGTGGAGAAATATACATGTCAGACATTTCATAGAGATTTTAGGGCGACTAGAATTTCGCTTTTCAGATCATATAGGGCGAATTGAAAATATTTACGGCGAAGTTTTCACCTGACTTCGCCCTGAACGCAGTCCCTGATCACAAATAAAATGCAATACAACTGCACATCAACGAGGATGACTGAGTGATTGAGAGTGATATTATAGTAACATGTTACAGAAAGCATTAAGCACTTGGCCATAATGCAATTTGCAATAATTAGTCTTTATATTAATACAGCAGGTGTTGCTTTGTAGGTACATGTACATCCTGTTATTTTCAGGCTGACCCCGGTATTTTTGAATGTGGATATCTCAAACAGTTACGTCCTCTTTATTAAACTACCCCAATAAATTACTATTACAACAGACAGCTCGAGTTGTCCTCTGTTGCAGTTCTAAGATCAGCCATGTATAGAGGCGTTTAATTTTAGTCGTCCGTAGCGTTGACATAACAGAAGCCGAAAGAGACAGTCTGGGACATATGGCATAGCTGGCGCCAAGTTACAAATTAAACTTGTCACAGTTCAGAACTGTTCACCTATTTATAGGAGAAGATGTGTAAGTTGGCCCGAAAAGCTTCAGATTCAGTTTGAGCCGCCAATATTGGTATTCCGAGGATCCTGGTTCAAGTCCCGGTCAGGCTGCCACATTTTTCTTCATCCCTGTGAACATTTCGCACCCAAAACAGGGGACCTTGATTACATATAGCTCAGAGCTTATTTTTAATAACAACTGCAAAAAGTGACAAGTAAGCTGACATTTACATTGATCTGTAACTGTGAAATTCAAGGGCGAATTTCAATACAGCAGGGGAGTATGTTATGGTTCGGTTCAGAACTGTTCACTAGGTGAGAGAAGATGTGTAGGCGGCTGGATAGCTCAGTCAGTAGAGCCGCGGTACAATATTCCGAGGGTCCCGGGTTCGAGTCCCGGTTAGGCTGCACATTTTTCTCACCCTGTGACAAACTTAAATATACACAATATGTGATAGATAAGTTCCTTGGGGTGTCTTAGGTGATGGAAAATATTATGCAGTTTAGGCCTGCACCTTTTGATTTCCAATTTATGAAAATATTTGTAACTTTAATTATCAAGAAAATATTAGATCTAATTCTAAACATTATAAATTACCTATTTAACGACTTATTTTCCACGGCAGCCTTTTCCACACAATGATTTCACAGGTAGCCCCGAAGTATCAAACAATAAATATTTTTTTATTTTTTCAACTTTCTGTTTCAGTGCCTTGCTAAACCAATCAAAACAAAGTACGGAAGATAACGCGGGAAAATTCTTTGTAAAGTTTCATACAACAAGTTTTCATTGGTCAGATTGTTGATAAAATATCCAATCAAAATAAGTATTACACATAAAACGGTGTCCATTGAATGTTTCTGCTGTAAAGAATATAAGTAAATAAAAATTGACATAATTATAAATGATTCAACAGACGTTGCAGAAATGAAAATTTTGTCATGGAATATCAACGGGATAAGAGCTAGTAAAATTGATTTGAAGAATCTATTTGATTCCCTAAATGCTGACGTGATATGTCTTCAAGAAACAAAGGTTACTCGTAAGTCCATTTGTGAGGTTTGACACCACTAAATTATGTTATCACAGTGACCACTAAAAAACTAAAATAATAATAATAATGAAATAAGATATCTCATGACCTGTGCTATTTAAGATAATCATTTGAATGTTATATTTTGAGATGAATTCTACACAAACATAGAAGGGATACTAAGTCAGTGTCCTATTGACAGGGACTGTCCCAGCACAGTGTTGGGATAGTGTAAAAAGGTAATTCTAGAAAAAATATATACTATATATATGATATACAGACTATTTATACAGTAAATTTTCTTTTCTAAAACTAATTTTTTACACTATCCCAACACTGTGCTGGGCCCCTGTGATATTGATCAGTTCTTCAGATTTTTAGTAGATAGGTGAGAGAAAATGGGCCTAGACACGGCGGCACGAAATACCCAAATACACCCAAATATTGCCCAAATATACCCAAATATAGCAATATTTATTTTTGATTGTATAAAATATAGATTATACTGAGAAATAAATAAATATTTATAAAATAATATGACTTAGCCTGCTATAACTTTCATTCATTCCGTTGAAATGTGCAGTTAAGATGTTGTAAGAAAATAAAGTTGTGACATTTGCTTATCTACAATATCGCTTCTTTATGAATGCAATTTTAATTCAAGATAAGATATTTGTTGTCTACACTTACATTTCTAAGGTGTAATTTTGTTGAAATTTCATATTATATAGAAGAAGAATGTCCATAATATTAAAAAAATTAGCTTTAATGGAGTACATATATAGAAGTCTACTGTATCTCACAGGCGCTAGTCACATAATCAAATATTTTACATAAACGGTCTATATATGTATATAAAGATATATAATATATCTTATTATAGTATATAGCCCATTTATATAAAACTTTAAAAAGTTTATTTCAAGCACCTGTGCTGTATGTTGGTTCAAAACACAATGATAGGAAAATGTATATTTGGGTATGTTTGATTATATTTTAGTGAAAGTGTATATTGTATTCATGATAAAATTATTATAAAAAACAGCACTTTTTTAGTATAAAACATTTATTTTTAGTATAATTGGACAATATTTGGGTATATTTAGGCAATATTTGGGTATATTTGGGTGTATTTGGGTATATTTGGGTATTTCGTGCTGCCCGCCTAGACATGAGACTGGAAAAGTAGGCTAGCCTAGTCTGTGATGTTCTGCAGAGAATGTCAGCTTACTTGTCACTTTTTGCAGTTGTTTAGAATCAACAAATGGAATCCACATGTGAGAAAGCTACATGTGTATGCAGAGATACATCTCTGCTTTATGTTAATGTTTAAAAACATGTATTATTAACCAAACTTTTAATTTATAAGAATTATTTTGTTATATTTATAAGAATTTTTTTATTATAGCCTATTGATTCATTAGTAAATGATTATTTAAAGCAAGTGTCACAGTATTTAACTATTTATCAGGAGATAGTGTTTACATTTGTCATAAGCACTTGCAGATACTTTGAAAATAAGATTTAAGTAAAAACTTTTATGTTTTTAGGAGATATGCTGGATGAGCCTACAGCTATTGTTGATGGCTATAACTCATATTACAGCTTTTCTAGGAAACGAAGCGGATACTCAGGTAGGGCTATGAGCCAGATATTAAAGGAACTTCACTGAGGTGCCAAAGCCTTGAAAAATAATACAGTAAAATTTTGTTGGCTCGAACTTGGATTGCTCGAATACCTACCTTTGCTTGAACTTGGCAAAATTTCTGTATGATATATATCGTTCTACCTCGGATCGCTCCAACATTGATTGCACCAACTCTCTCACTTGATCTCTGGTCCCTTCCACAGAAATGTAGTGAAAATCACACCTTTTTCAGTCGAACAAAAGAAGATAACAAATGTTGCGGGTTGACATGTTCTATCAGGTGGCGACACATGTTTTCAACACCTTCTGATCATGATAAAGGCAATTAAGGTTAATTTACATAAAATTAGAGGTGTTGTAACCAATTTATTTGTTATGATAGTATTGTTTATTTGGCATGTTTAGAAATGATAAAAAGAAAATAACTGGTGAAATGTGATAAGTCAATAAATAAATGACGTTTACCAGGGCTGCTTTAATTATAGTTGTGTTTCATATAACATGAATTTTAACCCTGTTATCTATTTATAGAATATATATACAATGATACATGTACATTGTGTTTATTTCTGTGAGTACAAATAGATGCTGCTGTGAAAGAAAATTATTAATTAATTGTTTAAAATAAAATTTATCCCATAATAAACAAATAAATATATTTTGAAGATTGTTCAACAAGTTTTAATCAAACTCGACCAATATCAATACATGTATGCATGAATTTAGATTAAAACAGTGTACCGTTAATACTCATTTTAAAATATTAAGAAAAGACGTTTTTCATAAACTGATGATCTACAAAACAATTATATTGGCGTATTTATCATTCGACCGATTTAAGCTGGTAAAACTTTAGGCCTAGGTCCTATGTGATAATAGTTCAACCTCGGTTGGCTAAAACTACCGATCTCCCGAACAAATTTTCACAGGCCCTCCAAGTTAGAGCGAACAAAGTTTGACTGTATTTGAAATTTCTACGTAGATCAATTTGGGCACTTATTACAAAATATGAAAACAATTAGAAAGACATATACTCAGAATTAAATTGAAAATCAAAATTTAATGCAATTCTTGGACCAATTTGAGGTAAAAGCATGTTGAACCCTTTTTATTTTACGTCATTTTGCATATTATGGCATAACATAATAAGCAAATGATCTGAAATTTTGCACACTTGTTGGTGGTTTAGATCTACATCAAATGGTTAAATGAAAAAAATCTAAATAAGACATTTCCCGTCCCAAAAAAGACAAAAACATTTCCCCGGGGTTCCCATTTTTAGACTAAGAAAAACATTCTGTTTCAGAATTTGATTGAAAGAAAAAAAACAGATAATTTTATGATGAAGTTGAAAAACAGGAAAAAAACATGTAATTTTCCTCATTTGTTTCTTCAAAAAATAGGGTTAAAGGTAGGAAACCTTTTGAATTCGTCATGGGGAAAAAAACTTAAAAAAATTTGGGCGTCAAAATGTCATTTGCCTTAGAACTTCTTCTAAAAAGGGAAAACTGGGCAACTCGCTATAAAAACCTGTTTTGTTTGTTGTCACTTTTAAAAAAAAAAATGGGCATTTTTTAAAAAGAAAAAATAAATTTCAAAAATTTTTCTGAAAAATAAAATTTGAAAAATTTTTTTTTTGTAATTTTCAGGGAAATGCCAACTTCTGTAAAAAACCCTGTCACACCCAAAACTGCAGAGGAAAGGGGTTTTTCTGGGTTTCCCCGCTGTAAATGAAAAATGGAAATGTGCGGAACTATGGGAAACCATCTTCCCTTTAAAAAAGATGAATTACAAGATCTGGATGCAGAAGGAAGGGCAATAATCACCCAGCATAGGATCCGGTACAGACTTCTTAATCACTGTATTTCTTTACTAACATCATGTTTTGTGAAAAATATAAAAAAAAATCATATCTCAAGTATTAACAGAACTTCTGAACGTATGCTTTTGTGTGTTTACAGCAATACTAGTGAAATGCGCACTTTCCTTTAGCTCTATTTTTTTCAAGCAGAGAGCTCTATTGTTGTGACCCTCATTTTACTGCTGATTTATCTGCATTGTTTTAAGTAAGCCTTTTTCTAAAGGCCTTAAGTTAGCCTTTTTTGAAGGCCCATTTGTAAAAAGATATCAAATTTATTCACTTCAGTCTTGTTCACTGACTATGTAAAATTTGTGAAGACAATTTTGCTTCAATGTTTTTTAAAGGTACATGTACAAGAGACTACATGAAATGTTCACTCCTTATAATGACAGTAACTGTTGTTAAATGCATGCACAATTTATTAAATGCTAACTAATGATCATTTATTATCTATCAATGTATTCTCTATTATTTTGAAATGAAATTTGCAGTAAAATAATTTTCAGGTTTGAAGATGGATGTGAAAAAGATCTGGCTATTATTAATGTATACTGTCCGAGGTTTGACCCAGAAAGACATGACCGACACCACTATAAGTTAAGATTTTATGCTTTACTTCAGACCAGGGCAGAGGCGCTGTTAAAAAGTGGAAGGTATGAATAATGAAATGTCCCTACATGCACATAGATTAACTCTATAGAATCGTTTTTGTCTCTCTTTAGTTACTGTGTAAATCAAAAAATCTATAAAAAGGGGTTTAGATTTAAACCCTTAAAAGAAAACCCTTTAACCCCCTGTTTAAAGGGGAAAAAAAAGTTAAAAAAATGAAATTTTAAATATTAAGAATTTTGCGAAATTTTAAAATTTAGTTATTCTCAAATAAATTTCCCTCATTCTATAAAGTGACTACCGTAAATTTTTAATCATGTACATCATTTCAGTCATTTTATGTACTGGGTATATTAATACAAACAATTAAAAAAAAATCATTGTGAAGCAACTGACGAGGTAACTTTTTTTTTGTGTTCCATTTGTGTTGTGGTGTTGTTTAAAGGAAAAACTTTTACTTTTCCCTTTTAAACAGGAGTTGGTTTGAGCCATCTGCCCTTTTTATACAAATTGAAATGAGCATTTTTATGTTAACTTCACAAATGTCTCCCAAGATTGTAATTGTAGGTCACTTCCTAAGCATGATTCTGGCATGCATTTTCACAGAATTATATCTATTTGTGGTCTAAGAATATTCCTGGTGAAAAGAATTACAAAGTTAAATATTTACATGAAAGATCAAAACCACAGATAGTGCTCACTAGTGACTCTTAGACAGTAACTCTTGCAGCAGCTTGAATTTTGAGTCAGTAACTAATCCTCCATTGTTAAGTTAGAACATGCCTCCATGTCTACAGTTCATTATTCAAGGTCTATAACTTGGGTATGTAATCCCGTTTGTTTACTAAGAAAATCCTCCCTAGTCATTGTTTTACACTTACCTAGCACTAGCTGAAAACAATTGAGATCACTGTCTCTCTGACAACCCCTTGGGCCAGCCTTCAAATTATCTTTGTTTCCCCTCCTGCAACCCATGTCAATTTTGGTAGGGTAGGTTTGAAGGTAGGTGGGTAATATTTTTTTTTGTATGAAAAATATAAAACTATTATTTATTTGACCATAATTATTTTTATACCCCCGCACAACGAAGTTGTAAGGGGGGTATACTGGAATCAGCTTGTCCGTCCAGACATCCGGACGTCTCCCCGTCCGTCCGTCTGTTTTTCCTTGTCCGTCCAATAACTTGAGATTCCTTTGGCCCAAAGTCTTCATATTTGGCATGGAGGTTAGTCATGATTAGTAGATGACCCCTATTGATTTTGGGGTCACTGGGTCAAAGGTCAAGGTCACAGGGGCCTTTACTTTCAAAAGCTTGTCCACCCAACAACTTGAGATTACTTTGACCCACAGTCTTCATATTTGGCATGGAGGTTAGTCCTGATTAGTAGATGACTCCTATTGATTTTGAGGTCACTGGGTCAAAGGTCAAGGCACAGGGGCCTTGACTAAAAGAAAGCTTGTCCGCCTAATAACTTGAGATTCCTTTGACACAAGGTCTTCATATTTGGCATGGAGGTTAGTCGTGATTAGTAGATGACCCCTATTGATTTTGAGGTCACTGGGTCAAAGGTCAAGGTCACAGGGGCCTCGACTTAAAAAAGCTTGTCCACCCATTTACTTGAGATTCCTTTGACCCACAGTCTTCATATTTGGCATGGAGGTTAGTCGTGATTAGTAGATGACCCCTATTGATTTTGAGGTCACTGGGTCAAAGGTCACAGGGGCCTTGACTTAAAAAAAGCTTCTGACAAAGTGGTATGCGGGGGTATTCACGCCATGACAGTGGCAGTTCTTGTTTTACCTGAATTATATAGACTTTTATAAAATGTTGAGAATGCTTCGCATATTTTTTAAAGTTATTAAAAGAAATTCTTTTTATTTGATTGGCAATGGAATTTTTTGGGTAGCAATGATTTAAGTGAGAAGGTAGCGAGAAATGTACAAACAATATTTTATTTTAGGTCATGTTGAGTTTATAAGCCTTATCATAACATTACATAACATTACATAATATTATACAGGAGTCTCAGAATAACAAAAGACCAAGCAGAATTTGGTTTAACCAGATGTTTTGGGAGAGAGGTAGGGATCCAAGTCTTGAGACGGAGCTTAACCAGGACGAGTTCAGTGCTGTCACACCACACACAGTAGGTGGGAAGTTTGTCGATACCTATAGGTACTTCCATCCTGAAAAAGTAAGTTAAACAGAGTTAAAGCAATTTTTTTAAAGTCAAAAGTGATAAGTGTTAAATCATTGTAGAAAGAACATTGTACATAAAAATTAGATACATTAATGAATATAAATACAATATTAGGTAAGCAGCATGCTGTAAATAAATTTTAACATTACCGGAGGGTTTTGTTTTGCATGTTTTATAATTTCTCTTATAAATTATTATTAATTCATTCTCATAGAAGATAAAAAAAATTGAGGAATTTAATCTTGGCCATTTAGAAATTTTCACAGGTTTATTTCTAAAGAAATACAAAATTTTTTAGCCCGACTTTTTTCCCCGGAAGATAAAACAACAAACAAGTCTAAACCTACCTACTTAAATTTTTAAAAAAGGAAAAACTGATATATTTTTTTTCCTTATTTATTTTAAACTTTTTATTTGTTTACTTTTAGAAAAAGTAAAAAAAGTCGAGTATTGCCGCCACCGCTCTTGTTAATTAAAAGTATTGAAAATTATTGTATTATTTCAGGAAAATGCTTTCACAAACTGGTGCACTCTAACAAACGCCAGGGCTACAAACTATGGTAGGAGGCTTGATTACATATTAGCAGACATTGAACTTGCAACAAAATGTCTCACAGATGCCAGCATCCTACAGGACGTAGAAGGCTCAGACCATTGTCCTATAACGATTAATCTTAACTGTACATGTTTACCACCAAAGACATGTCCCCCATTGTGTACAAAATTTATGCCGGAATTCAGTGGGAAGCAACAGAAGTTGTCAACATTCTTCATGAAGCTGACGAAAAAAGTAACAAGTGATACTCCTGATGTTAGTGAAAATATTAAAGAAACAGATGAAGTTGAAGTTGTAAAGGAAGAAATAAAAAGTTGTTCAAAATCTGTAAGTAGTTTGAAAAGGCCAGAAAAATTCAATAATGTGCCGCAGCCTTTGAAAAAACAGAAAACTGCGGAGATGAAAAAGTCTAATAGCAGTTCAAAACAAGCTAGCTTAATGTCGTTCTTCAACAATAAAGGTGCTGATAAGAAAAGTGCTGTAAAACTAAGCCAGGATGTTAAAGTTGAACACATTAAAAGTGCTGACAAAATTAAAACCATTGAGACATCCAGTAAATATTTCAATAATACTGACAAATCCACTGAAAAGGCAAATGATGCGGAGGATAAATCGATGAAGACGAGTGTCATTAATGAAAATTCTTCAAAGACAGCTAGTGCATGGAAGAACTTATTGGGAGGTCTTGGACCAGCTCCCTTGTGCAAGGGTCATAGTGAACCTTGTGTTTTACGTATGGTTAAAAAGCCGGGGCCAAATAAAGGAAAGCAGTTCTACACATGCGCTAGAGGGGAGGGTTTAAAGTCCAATCCTGAAGCAAGGTGTGACTTCTTTAAATGGGTAGTGAAGAAGAAAACATGATGAATTTAAACTAGTTGTCTCTTTTGACTTTTTGGTAGGCCAAATTGTCTGGACTTTTTTATCTTTATTTTCTCACAGAAATTAGTTATTCTTATTTCTTTTATATATATTTTTACATGCAAAGAAAATCTTTTTTTTTTATTTGGAGATGGAATACACTGAATGTATTCTACAAATAAAATGAATATGCCTGTAAATCTTTTAATAATATTAATCAGTCAAGACATTTTTTTTTTATTTTTTTTTTTTTACCTTTAAAATTGTTCCAACAGCAGTTATTGTGTTTTAATTGTTTAGTTAATTCAGTTTTCAGACTAAATAAAATCAGTTTGGCATGAATTTTTATTGTTCAAAGATGCATGAGTTATGATTTATATCACTCAGAAGTTAGATGTACGAGGGGTGATCCAAAAATTCGTGGACACGCTGCATAAAACAAAAAGTAAGAAAGCAAATCATATGAAATTCTACTATCTTATTAAGTGAGCATATGTCGACAAATTCTCAAAATATTGTAAAGATTGTACAAGAATTAACGATTTTGCACCAGTTTATATACATAGACATGACAAAACGCGGCGCAGCTCACGACGTCACAAACGACGTTATGCTATCATAGGAAGTAATCTATGTTACCGTTTTGCCATATAACTTTTCAAAGTATTCCCTTTTAACCCGCACACATTTTTCATAGCGGCGGACCGAGTCTCTAAATGTACTCGCATACCATTCTTGGCTGAATGATGACAGTATGCATTGGGTGGCTCCTCTCAACTCGTCCAAATTGTCAAAACGTTTCCCTCTCAACTCTTTCTTTAACCTGAGAAACAAGGCGAGGTCACACGGGGAAAGATCAGGCGAATATGGTGAATGACTGAGTACTTCTGCTCAAGAACTAGAGAGCGACACACTGACGGTTTATTTGTCACGCGTTCGATCATTGTTTTTGTCTCGCCAGGCATCTTTCCAAGATTTACACAGAACTGTATAACTGTTCGAAGTTTTGCTGGATCCGTGACGTCCATTTTTGATAAAGCTGTTTTTAGCACCTGTCCTTTAAAGAACGAGCGTAAAATAACCGCAACTTCAAAATGTCTTCTAATACTGACAGAATGCCGTCAAAACAATGTATCAAAACAACGTTATTATAACGTTTCCGCAATTTTCTTTGTTTGCACCGGTTTTACATGTGTTTAAATGAGATGAAAACGTTTATATCACAGAGAAAAAGTAAGCTGCGCCGCGATTTTGATACTTAATGTTTTTATTTTGTCATACATAGATAAAAAATGCAATTTGTGTTTTAAAATTTGGTCAATTTATTAAAAAAGCATTGATTAATAATATCCAAAGAGTTCACCTCGGTAGGACGTCACGTTATGGAGATACACACATTGTCCACGAATTTTTGAATCAGCCCTCGTATGAAACAGAACATATTTTATTTATGTTTACATTTGAAAGACAAATAAATACATTAAAAAAATGCTCAGTTGTATTTTGTTGGTCTTGTAAGAATGTTGTACATTATAATGATACAAATAAATAAACAAAAGTCTTACATTGTAATTGACTGATAGACATTTGATAGTGGTAGAATGAAGTAAGAAATCGTCAAGGAACAATCATGGCTGCAGAGCAAATAAACATCAAAATCTGATGAAAATATTCTTTTAACAGTAATCAACAAAAACCGGGTTATTGTAATGCCGAAGTCTGCGGGCGGGCGGGGGTCAACTTTTGGTTTCCGCTCCATAACTTTAGTTTGCATTGGCCTATTGACACCAAACTTGGTGTGAATGTAGCTTATATCAAGAGGCAGCTTGGGATTGCTACCCAGGTGTCTGTGATCAAGGTCACTGTTACTAAAAAAAGAAATTCAGTTTCCGCTCAATAACTTTAGTTTGCTTTGGCCTATTGACACCAAACTTGGTGTACGGATAGCTTATATCAAGAGGCAGCTTGGGATTGCTACCCAGGTGTCTGTTATCAAGGTCACTGTTGCTAAAAATAGAAATTCAGTTTCTGCTCAATAACTTGAGTTTGCTTTGGCCTATTGACACCAAACTTGGTGGATGGATAGTTTATATTAAGAGGCAGCTTGGGATTGCTACCCAGGTGTCTGTGGTCAAGGTCATTGTAACTAAAAATAGAAATTCAGTTTAAGCTCAATAACTTTAGTTTGCTTTGGCCTATTGACGCCTAATTTGGTGTGTAGGTAGCTTATATCAAGAGGCAGCATGGGATTGCTACCTAGGCATCTGTCATCAAGGTCAAGGTCACTGTTTCTAAAAGAGAAATTCAGTTTCAGCTTAATAACTTTAGTTTGCTTTGGCCTAATGACACCAAACTTGGTGTATGGGTAGCTTATATCAAGAGGCAGCTTTGGATTGCTACCCAGGTGTCAGTGGCCAAGGTCACTGATACTAAAAATAGAAATTCAGTTTCTGCTCAATAACTTTAGTTTGATTTGGCCTATTGACACCAAACTTGATGAATGGGTAGCTTATATCAAGAGGCAGCTTTGGATTGCTACAAAGGTGTCTGTGATCAAGGTTAATGTATTTTGTTTTCATGTTAGTACTTGAGTTTGCTTTGACCTTTTGACACCAAACTTGCTGTGTGGCAGCTTTGGATTGCCACTTAGATATCTGGGAGCAAGGTCAAGGTCATTTGCTTACAATAGAATTTTCAGCTTCTACTCAATAACTTCAGTGCACTTTGACCTATTGATTGCTGTCACATCAAAACTTGGTCGTTGAAAACCTGGTTTTTGTCGCATTGCGGCGCTTCTTGTCTTTATTGGACTTGTTCATATTTCAGTCTAGACAAAACCATTCCTGATTATAAGAAAATTTTCAAAATATAAGTACATGTATAGACAGGAAAGTGATCAGATATGGCATGGATGTGGTCACATGATTTGACGCAGATGGCGCCAGCAGGCTAAAAGTTAATGCACATAGAAATAGTTTTTACTTTGTGCTCCAAATTCAAATACAGCTGACGGATTACATATTTAAAAAAGACTTTTTTTTGGAACCACATTATGAATTGTGTTGACAGGAAAAGTAATATTACCAGACCCGTGGAAACAGTCTTACCCTAAATCAGCAGGAATGATAAAAGATCAGTAGGTTGGCAGCAAACACAATCTATAGTAATGATATGTCACATGCTTAATTGATAAGTTTTTTTTTTGTCAAGGTCAAAAATTTACACAATCCAAGTGTTTAGATTATATACTCATGATTCACAGTATGAGTGTGAACAGAGTTCAAGCTTAAGAAATTTTAGAGCCCCTTTGGGGATTTACAAAAAAAAAATTTTTTAGCCAGGGTCAAACATTTTAAATGGCAATATATTATTGACTATGGTCTACAAAAGGGCCTCATAATGTAAGGGTTAACAACCTGAATATCTATGTATATTATCTCAGATAACTGCATCTTAACACTTTCACTGGTCAGCAATAATGTGTCTTATGTATGGTTCTTTTATTGTGTCGCCTTGAAAAAGGCGACATATAGGTGTTACATTTGTCACTGGTATCTGTGTCGGCGTCCCCTTAAGCTTGTCCAGAGCATAAGTCAGTCACTTTGAGTCGGATTGACTCCAAACTTGGTATGCATGCTTATTATAATGACCCGAAGTGCAGTGCATAAGAATAGTTACTCTGCATTTCTTTATTTCTGAGTTATTGCTGAATAAAGCGAAACATGTTTTGATACTTAATTTGTGTTGGTTTTTTATCCAATTGTCTTATTGCTCTTTGTTAAATTTCATAATTTATTTTTATTATTGACTGATATTTGAAAGGATGATAACTTGCTCAATTCTTGGATTGAGTTAGAGGTCAATTGTGACAAGGTCACCAGTGCTAAAAATAGATTTGTAAAAATTTTTCTATGCAGCCTTTGCTGTTTTGTTTTTTTACCAATGTCTCATACTTATAAGGAACATACCTATGGTGGTCAATTGAGTTCGGATGCAGTTTTGGGTCGCTGGGTTCAAGGTAAAGTCTTGCATTTACATGGATATATAAATTTATAATACTCCACGTTTGTAACATCTCTTTTCATTGGATAATCGTGATGTTTATATAGTTTTATATACACCGGGCTGCTGTCGATTCATGAAGAAATCTTACTTTTTCTCTAAAAATTGATGCTTGCTGTAATATAAATTCGTTATAATGATTGTTGACAGGTTATATGGCCATATATAAATGGCTGTTTGCAATATAACCCTCGCCTAGCGGCTCGGGTTATATTTACATAATTATACATGTAGCTCACTCACGGTATATATAGGGCCATATAACCTGTCAACAATCTTTATTATAAACTAATTTTATATATGATAAAGTTGAATATTTTTACAACTTCATCACAAGTCATAGCAAATGACTTGCCAACTTATATTTTTCATAATTACAAAATGCCATGACTCTGTCATTTTAGTAATATAGGCCTAACTGTGTTTTTACTATTTTCCATCATTAACTGAGTAAATGGGTAAATGTTATTTGAAATATTGTTATTGACAAGAATATGAGTCGGGGCATTTGTGTTTAACAAACACATTCAGAAATCTTGTTTCTAAAAATTATTCAAATTAAAAAATTATCTAAAAAAAAAAAACACCACAAACTATTTAGTGGCGCATTACCTCATTGCCGCGCCAAATTATTTAGTGGTATGTCATAGTGATTTTTACAACAATTCATTCTTATAGTGACATACAAGAGTTGTCTTTCTTTGATCGTTGCTACCAGTAAACAAAAAGAAGGATTTGGAATTATCATATATTTTTGCGAAAATATCGAATGACAGGTAATGATAAGGACAGTAGTAGATCACAACACAATCATCATTCCCAATTTCATCTTATAATGGTTGTTGAACTCGTTTGACTTGTGCTTTTATTGTATAAAGTGCACAAAAGAACTGCAACAGGCAAATGGCGATTTTTTTCTTTTTAAAAGGTGAAAAATAGAATTTAATGAAAAGTGATGCAGAACAACATATTTAATGCACTCAGAACTCTGATATTGAACCTTCTATTCTAATTAGCCTTTACCTGTCATTTGAAATGACTGGAATTCTACTTCTAGTGCCTATATTTTAGAGACGACTTTAAAAATAAAATTAAAACATAGGATGGTCCCCTATGGTACCACTGTTCTTATTATTTCCAGCAAACTGTACAAATAAATAGAACTTATATTTACTATTTTATTGAATTGTGTTTAGCTGTTGCATCTTGACTTTAAAATACACATGTCATTCATAGAATAACTCAATGATTTTAATTAGAAACATCTATGGTCCGTTAGCCATGTTTAGAATAGGAGCTTATATGGAGAGCACTATGGTACCGTGGTATGTTAATTGATGGCCCTTTTTGGCTTCAGTATAATTTTTTGTAACAGAATATGCTGTCTTTACAGTTTCAGCAGACGCCTTCACTTGTCAGAACATGAAATTATAAGTTTAACCATTAAATATGGGGTAAAATAAAGAAGTTTTTTCAGCACACAGGCAGCTTTGGATTTTCCTATCAATGACAGAATTTATTTGAAATGAAAAAAATTCTAACAATTTCTATCCAAATTCACAAAAAGCAGCACTCCCACTTTCACTGTAATGGTGGAAACAGTATTTGGTGGCATTCAATGTGTAAAGAAACATATTTTCTGATTACATCGGAATGGACAAGGACGCGGTACCCGCAGGGAGTACTATACATGTTATTGTGTATCAGATTGACAGATAGCTGTTACTCTGACTTGGATTATTTAACCCTATAGGTCATCACTTAGTGACATTCAAATGGTAAAATTTCATTTTAATGCCACAGAACTATGAGTTTGACATGACCACATCATTTTTCATGTCTGCTAAAACCATAAACCCAGAGATGTGGGATCAAATGCAAGGTGCCTTCTTCAGTTGAACCTAATACAATCAAATTAGAGCCACTGGTCACATATGAAAATTGTGTTGCATTTACGCTATTAAAATTTGATTAAGTACTTAATTACCCAAACATTAAAAATAAAGGTGAAACACCATGACCTTAATTGGATTTTTCTTATTGTCCCAACATTGGTTGTTTTCTCGTCCAACTAACTGTACTATGCAATGAGATATTTTGCGCTATTTTGTGTGTGGGCAATTTCTCCCCTTCATTCTGACCCAGAACAAAAACATATCAGAATCTAGGTTTGGCACGTCAGTATATTTTGACTAGGTTGTTTTGCAGCCCTATTAGATGTGATAATATACAACCAATGCTTTGAAGCATAAATATGTGTACTGTAAAGACAAGAAGCGGCACAGTTATACAAGAGAATAATAATTATATTTGATTATTTATTGTTGTTTTTTCTTCTGATATCATCTGGTATAGCAAGCTATGACGTGAACAGTTCAAAATGTGATTTGTGAGCTTTATATACACATATACGAGTATATATATATATATTAAATACAGACAATTGTGAAAATGTCAGACCCCTCTGTTGTGAAGTTGAGTTCTAAGACTCTTTATTCCAAATCATTAATGCTGGAAGCAGTCAATTCTAAGATTAACTTGAACACCTCAAAGTTTAATCGGTTATAATCTGTACTGATTGGCTGGGACTATCCTGTTGAAATTAAAACATCACTTTATAGTAAATTCTGTTTTAGTGTAAAGACTGATGAAACTACATGTACAATGATTCTTGCACCAATACTTACATACAATAAAGTCTCTAATGTAGATGTGTTTCTAAAGTGAGAATAGAAAATATAAATTAAACCATGCATTTCTTACCTTCAAATATGTTTTCTTTTAAAAATGATTTTGCATTTCTTTAATATCAAATGCTTGGATTGAAAATAGACCATACTGTATTAAATTTTGCTAGTTGATTTTTCTACTGAGCAGAAATATGTAGTTGCTGGTTTCATCTTGCTTGTCAATACCACACAAGAGATTGGTAAGGATGACTGGTGCTACACAGACATATCCATATGCGAGTCCAGGGCCTATCCGCCTGCCACCTGGAAACCTTGAAACAGTGGAGGAATTGCCCGGAGACTCTGACCTTGAGGATGACAGGTTTGAGTTTCTTTGATTGTCAAAATAAGAGAACTTACAATATTTCATCCTTTGTTATATTAAATTTTGATGTACAAGTAACTAAAGGAAAAGTACCGTTTTAAAGTTATGAAAAATGATCTTTTCTTTCCCCTTTGAACTTAAAGTTTAAATTTTACCAAAATGTTTGACATTAGAAACAGTTTCATAACATTTATACATGTACTAAAATAATTTAGTGCAACTCATCATCAGCGCAAGAAAAATATCATGATTTTGTTTATGTTAAAGAGTGAAAAAGACCTGAGTAAATGCCATTCCCATAAAAGTTGTGTACAAATTATAACAACATGTATTTCAAAGAAAAAAAAACAACAGGATTTATTCTCTGATAATTTAAAATGTAAGTTGTATGATAATCACTGATTTCAGATCTGATTTGTCGGCCTCCCTGTCTGATGCAGCCCTCAGTAACATTGAGGAGGAAGAGGGTGATGATTTCTATGATGAGGGAGAAGGAGACTCTATGAGGGAGAGAGATCCAGTCTTTGAAAAGATCAAAGAAACACTGTCAAAAAGTCAGCAGCGTTCGGAATCAGTGGCTTCTATGTTGAGTAGTATAAGTGATGAGAGTGATGGACCACATGTACAGATATCTGAACATTATACGTCAGTGCCTTATGGCATACAGCCGAGAGCAACTTACGAGCATAGTAGTGTACATGCTGATATAATGGGAGGTAAGAACAATGTACAGCTTTGACATAATATCAAGTTACTTCTCTTTTATTTTTGATCAGGATTATCAAAAATAATAAAACCCTTACTAAACAAAGCTTCATAAGCATTAGTATTATAACTTTCTTGACACTTCAATATTCTTCTCTAAATCATTTAATGTATAGATCATGTAGATAAAAAGACTACTTTAAACTTGAACTATCATGGAAAACTGTTGTTCTTGACTTCTTAACTTTGGATTGACATTGCACTGTATTTAAAAGAATCATTTCTAGTTCAAGTTTCTATCAATAAACACCATATGAGTACAATTGAAAATTAAAACATATACATATATATACATTCATAGTACATTTTGATTGTAAATCCAGCTAGTTTGACAGTCAATACTAATTAGACTTGTTAAGATCTGTTAGTGGTTTGCAGTTTTGAGCGATGACATGTAATGCTTGATTTGATTTAAATGAAAAGCCATTTACCCTTAACCCCTGTCTGAATTCAGGGATTTAATTTTAGAAATGTACAGATAAATTAATGCAGAAAATCAAAATCATTCATACAAATTGAAACCAGGAACTTTTATAAGTATTTACCATATGATATGTATATCAGACTGAGACTTACTGTTGTATTTGGGAAGGTGAAGGTTGATTGTAATCTGAATAGTTCTTACAAATTGGGGTAATTTACTTTGCAATATGTTATTTTTATTTTAAAGAAAATGAAAATCCACCAATTAAACAACGCATGAAAATAACCATTTTGATAAAACCACGAAACTCATGCCCATGAATATAAGTGAATTCACAGTACCTGAACAAAAGTGAACTAAAATTTAAAAATGTTTCCCATGTTGACAAGTTACCAGTCAAGTAATATCTTTACATTTATGCTGCTGGAATTGAAAGTGTTTAGTTTTTGCCACCAGTTTAGATCTCTGTACTATAGGCTGTAATATTTTCATCATGATATCCCGAAAATTGATAATGGATAGTTCAAAATAGAACCTGGACAATTCCATTTAAGAAATTCAATAGGTTATCAAGGGTTAAGTAATTGTATCAGGTTTTAGTTTGAGATAGAAATGAGCCGCGTCATGACAAAACCAACATAATAGGTTTGCGACCAGCATAGATCCAGACCAGCCTGCGCATCTGCGCAGTCTAATCAGGATCCATGCTGTTCGCTTACAAACCCTATTACAAGTAGAGAAACTGATAGCGAACAGCATGGATCCTGATCAGACTGCGCGGATGTGCAGGCTGGTCTGGATTCATGCTGGTCGCAAACGCACTTTGTTGGTTTTGTCGTGACGCGGCTCAAATGTCTATGTTTGGTAATATGAGTGATGACTGTTTGATATTACAGTGGCCTACAATGGTAGAATGAGAATGTTTGTTATATTGGATTCAAAGGGAATAACAACATGGAAACGTGATCTGGTTGATCCTAGAGGTATGTTGTCACATATCGTTGCTTATATCTTATAGAACTTTATTTCTATAATTATATTTGAATACATGTACTTACACTAAAATTTCATTTAACTAACTCACTATGATGTAATACTAGTAACTTTCCACTGGTGTGAGAAAACAACCTTTACATAATTTGATTGTTTTTTTTTCATTGATAAATTCAATTTTTAAAGATTTTTTTTCTCTGGCTTTTGAAATTATAAAACTAAAATATCCACTACCTATTCATATCTATCTTCAACATCACATGTGTAGAAATTCGCATTTTTATTTTAACGTCAACTACAATGTGAATGTCTTTATACACCATTTTCAAAATGATATAAAGGGATTTTTTCTCAGGCTGGAATCAATGATTTAACTACATGATTGTATAAATCTAGGTTTCTAATAACTAATGTTGTTTTAATTTCTATGGAAAGGTTATCATGTTATGTTGATAAAACATGGATTTTAACCAGATTTAATCTTACCTACCGGCTCCTTTGTTAAAAGCGGTCTAGTAAATCACTTACCGACCGGTTAACAGGTCTGCAAATAGATACCGACCGGTTATTGTTCTATTGTTCTCTATACAATAGAAAACATGTGAAGTCGAGAAACTCGTGCATTACAGTACACAATATTCACCGTAAAAGAACGCTGAATTGTGGGGGAGGGGGGGGGGGGATAATGACCACTTTGAATAGGAAAAAGGGTCGATATATATTTTAAAGATTAATCGAAATAAATTAGCGCAAACGGCTGTAAGGACCCTCATAACTTATATTCCAGATTATTTGTGAGAAAAACGAACTGGCTACTGTTCTGGCGTTGAAGTTTTGTGTTTCGCCTATATTAATGAGTATAACAACGCACATTAATCCTTTCTTTTGCTTTTCGGTATACCTAACACATTTGCCGAACTATATAGCTTCATAAGATACTAGTTTTCGGTATTTATTTCCACAACTATGTCTGAATTTGCACAATCCTGCATTATTTTAACAATTCTGCATTAAGGGATATATACGACGATTATATTATTGGTGCATATCGAATCAAAGTCAACTTCTGCATCTTTCTTTCCTAAAATAATACTTTCAGTGAGAGTATAGTTCATCTTAAGTATAAGACCGTTTTTCTCATTTTTTCCCAGTTATTTTTACATTACAATTTGGATTTTGTATACCAGTACCAAGAATACGACTTGCGCTTCCATTCTAGACCGCGTGCTTACATGCGGTCTTATAACGGATGATGCTAATTAAGAATACACGGAAAGAAAATTCATCAAAACATGGATGAAATTCTAAGAACATTTAAAATCAGCCATCATAAAAAACAACAGCAACAAAACCAAACTTACATGGCGGTGTAACTACATGTATTACTAATATTTATTCATAGAACCCTGTCTTTTACTTTCCTTTGAAAAAATCGTATATTTTAATTATATAAGAAATAGCCTGATCATCTATTTACCATGAAATTTATTATATATAAAGATAAAGTGTTCCGTTTTTATGATTAGAAAACATTTTTATCTTCCTCAGTGTTTGTTTATATTATTAATATGTTATGTATTCATATATTGACAATATCAAAATAATGATCTTACCTTTCCCTACTCGACTCATTTTCTGTGACTCAACTCAACAAGTACATTACCTGACCTTATTACATAATGAAACCCCACGAAAATCACGAGAATATTCAAATAACACCTGATTTGTGAACGAATGAATTACAAGAGCGTAGCGGATGGTATCTTTGCTTTGCTTTGGAATGCTTTCTTAAACATGATAAAGTACATAAGTAATATGTTTCTTGTGAGTAATATTAATAAATACTGATGTATGGATAGAAAAACAAAAGAGCATGTAGGTAAGATAGTTACCGCACTCGGAATAGGTCTGCATAGTATTTACAGACCCGGTGGCCTTTTAAAAACCTCGATCGCTACGCTCTCTCGGTCTTCAAATCGCCACCCGGGTCTGTAAATACTATGCAGACCTATTCCTCGTACGGTAACTATTACTTACCATGAATTTACTTTATTGTGTCAAGGGGTTATAATTATGGCGTTTGTATTATAAGAAGATTTTCAAAATATGGTTAAAATTGTTTTACAATAGTACCACTTGTTAATGCACTCTTCCTTTTCTGTTTACTTATAAATTTTCATTGACATACTATAAAAAATTAGACCTATTCTGAACAGATGCAAAGTTACAAAATTGATTCATATTTAAAAAAAAATTAATTTGTTAGAGCATTACTGGATTAACAGACGACACAAGAATGGTATTAATTAATCTGAATCATAATGATTATATGATTTAGAACATTATTATGTTTTTTTTTTGTTCTCGTTATTGTTTTGTTTTTATGTTCTGCCAAATCTAAGTGACCCAGTTGTAAGAATAAAAAATATGGTCATTACTACACATTGTATGTTAAGATGTTTATCTACAAGTTAAATTATGCTATCTGATTATATATCATTGTGTTCCTGTTTTGTTTATAATGCCAGTTACTACATTTTAAAATATTTCTTTTAAGTGCCCTAGATATTTTTAGTCGTCCATTGTAGTTTGAGAATGTTATCATTTTTTTTCATACTAGTTTGAAAATATAATGATTAACCGGTATGACCTGCTTTAATTTTGGGACTTTTAATTAAAGATCCTGTAACACAATTTTTTTTAAAGTTTTAAATTATAAATATAATGCTCAAATTAAGATATAACAATATTGTATGTTCCAAAAAAGAATTATTTATAAAGATATTACCAAATTTAACATTTCATGTAAAAAGGGAGGTAATAAAAAATTTATTTTCTATAAAGTTCAAGTCAAATTTTATAATAAGAAATGAATGCACATATTTAAATGATTACATATAATATTCACAAATAATTGCAGTACATATTTTACATATTCTTCGATGTTTGAAAATTGTTTTATTTTGCATAATTATGTATGTATATATAATTTCACTTAGTGTGGTTTACCACTCAGGGGGCCCCCGTGGCCGAGTGGTTAAGGTCGCTGACTTGAGATCACAGGTCCCTCACCGCTGTAGGTTCGATCCTTATTCAGGTCGAAATCTTTCATGTGAGGAAGCCATTCAGCTGACTTACGGAAGGTCGTTGGTTCTACCCAGGTGCCCGCTCGTGTCTGAAATAATGCCCGGAGGGGCACCTGGGATTCTTCCTCCACCAATAAAAGCTGGAAAAAAATCGACGAAAAAATCTCGGCGGGACGCTCTAGGATGGCCCGACTTGAGTGTACGGTCGCCCATATGGGCTTTCTGGCGGCGACCTTAAATAAACGCAATTAAAAAAAAAAAAAAAAAGTTTACCACTTTCATCGTACATACAGGATCTTTAAGGGATTTCAATATAAAAATACACAAGATGAGCTTAAAACAATATAGTGCCTGGGCAGACTTCACAGATTGGAAACTGGCCCGGCTCTATAATGTTGGCAAAGACAAATGGCAGGCGAAAAGTTAGTTTAAGACTGGTCTAATGTTTACAGAATGTTACATTATTTTCAGAATGATTTAAAATGTTCTTGTTATAAACATGTACTTTTAGATTGATTTAAAAATGATATAGTACTTCCGTTCTAATTTAAAGTTTACATTACATATTTGATACTGGTTTAAAAGTGTTATAAAATATTTTTAGATTGGTTCAAAAATGTTTTTTCTTTTAAATTATAAAATATTTTTAGACTGGTTTGAAAATGTTTTTTCTGTTATATTATAAAATATTTTTAGACTCAGGTTCGAAAATGTTTTTTCTTTTATGTTTTCATGACTTTTTCATCACCATTTAATGAAATAACTTATTACAGATATGGGTTATCTCCAAACCAAGGATCTTACTCCTAAAACATTTAATTTAAATCAAGGTATTTATTCTTGCACTGGAGTGTTGCACTTTTCTAGGGTCTAAGATGTAATCTTAAAATAGAAATTATCTTCAGTTCATATAAATATGTACCTATTGCCGGAAAAATGCTACTGTTTCTTTGGAAACTATACTTGCTAGAATAGGTTCTTTAATTATGTTGAAGCGAAATTAAGTTAAGTTTAGTTAGCATTTCGTTATATTACAGAGAAGTTAAACTTATTTATTTAAATCTGTAACATGGATACACTATTCAAATGGTTATTGGCAAAAGTACGTAAATAGATTGCAGCAGGGCCTCAACTCCTGAAATAATAAAATGGCTGATTTTCAACTGCTGAATCCCTTTATGATTTAAGTCGTGTCACGACAAAACCAGCATAATGGGTTTGCGACCAGCATGGATCCAGACCAGCCTGCGCATCCGAGCAGTCTGATCAGGATCCATGCTGTTCGCTTACAAACCCTGCGCAGGCTGGTCTGGATCCATGCTGGTAGCAAACGCACTTTGTTGGTTTTGTCATGACGCGGCTTATTTAATTTTCTAATTTTTTTTTCACAGAGAGTTCTGAAAACTTTAGTAATATTAGTATCTGATGTAGAAAAGCAATTCAGTAAGCTGAAAAAAGGTTGAAGGTTGACTTTTGCCTGAAATAATGCAGAAGATGACACCATTTACCTATATTCAGCAACCAGCTTAATGCTGAACATCCAACAAAATAAGATAAAAGTTTTCTGTACAGTAATAAATACATTGACTTTATTCAGCTATTGAATGTTTGTAAGTATATAAGTCTGACTAGAGTAATTAACCCATTGGGAAGTTAAGGTGAGAGTTTACAGGTTTGCAAAACAAAATTGATTATACCTTAGATAAAACAATTGGTCTTAGTATGCTTGTTTAAGGGCAGCAGGTGTCTGTTGGTTAAGGTGTCTTAACCTATGTAATCATGAATTAGCCATACAGTGGATCATGTTCCCGTTTGAAAATTAGCTGCCAGTTTGAAAGTTTTTTCAAAACATTTCATGAATTATTAACTTCAAGAATTGCACCATTTTAAATATTGTGGAATAAAATAACATGAAAAAGTGGTAATTGGAATTAGAACTGCTTCTGGTGTCTTAAGTTTTTTTTTTCAAAAATGAATTCTGAAGATTCTTGTAAGATATTTATATGATAAATAATTAAGAATCTGTTTTATACAGAATAAGCTCTTGATATAGACTGTAAAATTGTTTTTGATAGTTTGCTAAGCAATGTAGTGGCATATGACTTGGTTGTATCTTACGTTTATTTTTGTCAATCTTGCTATTTCTTGTAGATATACTGATTAGAGATTTTCCTAATATCTGTTCATTTTCTCCATGTCTGAAATCTATATCATCTGTCCTGGGCTAATAGGCTTAATAAATATACAATCACATGCCGTAACTTCATTTATTTTTTATTTCAATGCTTAAAAATCTGTAAAATGATTGTTAAATGATTTTAATATGTGTAAATGAAAACACCCACGAAATATGTCTTGGGATAAAAAGAATTCCCTTATTGACTTTGTCAGTGAAAAGAAGGAATTTAAAAATATACAACTTTAATACTGTGTCTCAGAAATAGACAAAAATAGCAAAATGATAATTAAGTTCAGATTAGTTGTGTATCAAGTTTTAAGCACTGTATTAAATTTATGTACTAAGTTTAAAGCATAATTTATGTACTAAGTTTAAAGCATAATTTATGTACTAAGTTTAAAGCATAATTTATGTACTAAGTTTAAAGCATAATTTATGTACTAAGTTTCAAACATAAATTCACATTCTCTATATCGGGTTCTTGGTCAAATTTACAGTACCACAAACAAAAACTTTATGAATCAGTTTTAATATAATGTTTCCATATTGTCACTTTGGTGCAGTAACAGATTAACTCCTATTAAAATTTAATAGGAGTTAATCTCTTACTGCACTAATAAGATGGTATAAGAGTTAAGATCGGTTTTTTTTAAGTGGTTAACTTATTTCTTGATAGTAAGCAATGATAGTTCAAAGAAGAAAACACTAAAAAAGAAGTCCACTGTCACACTTAGACATCGCTACTTTGGTAAATCTTCACTCTTTAATGGCTTTGGGACGTACTTTTTATAGAATGTATCATGGTACAATGCACATTTGGTGAAGGTATATGCATTTAACTAGAAATGTCATTCTTGATTTTTTTCTTTTTGAAGAAATTTTTGATGATTTCAGTTCCAGCACCACAGGAATGGTAATGAATGGGTTTCTATTGCACACATTTACAACTTTTAATGTGTTGTTCTATACATGAGCCCTGCTAAATGATGTTAACATTTGATTACTAAGGAACTTTGTATATCTAGATTTATTGGAAAAAGTATGATTGTTAGTTCATAGCTGTCTAAAATCTATTTTGTGTCCATGAAATATTGTGTTAATAAAAAGCATGAAACTTATATCATGGCTATGTTTTCACATGGCAGGGCTCATTATTTAAGTACAGTATATATTTTGAGTGATATTGTTGTTATATACCACAGGAATGAGAATTGTTGAGAGTAAGAAGTTTATATCACCAATGATTAAATACCTCTGTTTATATACCTTCATATAACCATTGTAAAATGTCCTCATATAAGCATGTAGGTGTACGGACATAATCCCCTTCGGACAAAATCCCCTTCATGCATTTTTGTATATCTGGACATAATCCCCTCCATGGGTGGACATAATCCCCTTCATGTGTGAAATTTTGAAGTGGACAAAATCCCCTTCATAAAATTGCTACCTAGGACAAAATCCCCCTCGGTTTATAAAGTGGTTAAGAGAGTGACATACTGCATTATGCTGTGTGGTAAATATCTTAATGTATAAATAAGTAAAAATTATTTCAGCAGAAAAGCACATTCAATTAGCACATTTTAATCACATTAAAATTGCTTTGTTAAAGCATTCATAACAATCAATCAAGTAGTACAGTGATCTTGGTTTGATCACGGATTTATATTACAATAAATTAAATTATCACTCATTCATCAATACAAATTGTAACAATGGATAGTATGTATCAGAGACATAGATATCTATGTCTCTGTATGTATCAATTAGAATTATCAACTTATACAATCAATGAAACAATTATTGGCTAAAAAAATGTTTTTGATACTAATCAATTTTAAACAATTAAAGAAATTGCCTAATCAAATATGTGTTATGCAGTTGATAATTTACCATAACTTTAATGAAAACTTCTAAACTAAATAAAGGTTAACTATTGATACATAATTATAAATAAAAAAACAAAAGTTCATTATTCATCAATTTTTTATGGAGCATAATAATACATTAGAAACCTATGAAACAAGGGGATTTTGTCCGGGTAGTGAAGGGGATTTTGTCCAGCCTTGCAAAAACATGAAGGGGATTATGTCCACCCATGAAGGGGATTTTGTCCGGGTAGGCGAAGGGGATTTTGTCCGAAGGGGATTATGTCTGACATTCAAGCATGTAATATAAATTATATTAAATGTTTCATGTAATATTTGAGGTTAAATGTTGTGCACAGTGTTTATTACCATATCAAATATATGTGTATGTGCCTTTGTATTATGGCCTCAAAGTATGCACTGTATATTCCTCATATTGTATATTGCCCCTGGGTATGCATTGTATATTTCACATATTGCATATGGCCCCTGAGTATGTTTTGTAATTTGTATATCCCATGTTTTGGAGTGTATTTCATATCTTTATGAAAATTTAATTAGGAATCTTTTCCTTCAAAAAATTTGTTTTAGATATATTTTTTGATAGGACAATTAGATCAAAAACCAACACAAATTTAAATATCAAAACATGTTTTGCTTTATAAGCTTCGTCAGTTGATATATTATTTGAAGCATTTTTGTGAACAAATGTGCTAAAAAAAGTTGCAACTTTAGTGAGTTTATCATTATGATTAATGATCACATTGGTTCCTTATATTGTTTCAAATGAGTTTTTATTATTCAAACATTATAAGTTGGTCCTTATATTGAGCTATTTAATAGTAGGTACTGGTCACAAAATGACTATCTTTTTAAAAAGATTTTTGTTTCTGATTATTGTGTCACATAGGTGTATATATGCTATTAAATATTGTTATAGACATGTACTGTTCAGTGTATGCAACATTTCAGAATGTTTTTTATAAGTTCACACATACCTTGATTATTATAAATTTGACCTTCAACATTTATAGCAATGATATAATTATTTAACTTTGTGGTCTAGATGATTGTTGTCTTTATTTTTGAGTTTGAATCCCATGCAGTACAGGATTCTTTATCTTATTCCAACTTTTACTTGCTGACTAAATTGTTCTGATTTTTTTAGCTCACCTGTCACAAAGTGACAGGGTGAGCTTTTGTAATCGCTTTTTGTCCGGCATCCGTCCGTCGTCCGTAAAATTTTACTTTAAATGACATCTTCTCATAAACCACTAAGCCAATTTCATCCAGACTTCACAGGAATGTTCCTTTGGTGGTCACCTTTGAAAATTGTTCAAAGAATTTGATTCCATGCAGAACTCTGGTTGCCTTGGCAACCAAAAGAAAAAACTTTAAATATCTTCTTCTAAAAAACCCAAAGAGCTAGAGCTTAGATATTAGGCATGAAACATCTTCTAGAAAGTGTCTACCAATTTTGTTGGAATAAAAGCATTTGGGTCAAAATTGGCCCCGCCCCAGGGGGTCATTGATTTTCCCTATATGCATAGAGTAAAAACTTAAAAAATCTTCTTTTAAAGAACCCAAAGAGTTAGAGCTAAGATATTTAGCATGAAACATCCTCTAATGGGTGTCTACCAAGTTTGTTCAAATAAAAGCCCTGGGGTCAAAATTGGCCCGGCCCCAGGGGGGTCATTGATTTTCCCTATATGCATATAGTAAAAACTTAAAAAATCTTTTTTTAAAGAACCCAAAGAGCTAGAGCTAAGATATTTGGCATGAAACATGTTCTAATGGATGTCTACCAAGTTTGTTCAAATAAGAGCCCTGGGGTCAAAATTGGCCTAACCCCAGGGGGTCATTGATTTTCCTTATATGTGTAAAGCAAAAACTTAAAAAATCTTCTTTGAAAAAAACCCAAATAGCTAGAGTTTAGATACTAAGCATGAAACATCTTCTAGTGAGTGTCTACCAAGTTTGTTCTTGTAAAAGCCCTTGGGTCAAAACTGGCCCTGCCCCAGGTGTGTCATTGTTTTTAACTATATGTGTAAAGAAAAAACTTGACCAGCTAGACCTTAGATGTTTAGCATGAAACATCTTCTAATGGGTGTCTACAAAGTTTGTTCAAATAAAAGCCCTGTGATTTAAACTGGCCCCGCTCCGGGGGCCTATATACAGGTGAGCGACTTCAGGGCCATCATGGCCCTCTTGTTTCTGGAATGGTAATAATACAATAGGGTGGTCCTGTTTATCATGTATAAGACCTGGTGTAAAGTCTGAAACTAGGGCTTTGACTTTAAAATATGTAGAATCTACTTCTTTTCTCTACATTGTGCAGACAAATATTGAAATATTATTCAAAAGTCATTTGACATTAAAGGAACTCCACTGTGGTCCAAAATCCTAAGAACATAAGATTTGAATTTTTTACATAGATCCATTGGTGCACTTTAAACAGTTGGATATGCAAAAGATTATTAAGAAATATACTCAAAATATGAAATATACTCAAAATATATTGAAAATCATATTTTTGTGATATTCTTTGCCCAATTTGAAACGCTTTTCAATTTTGGGTCATTTAATTGTCACAATTAGAGTAATTATCCTGGAAAAACAGAGTTAGCGAATGATCTTAAATTTTGCACAAATATTATTGGTCTAAACATCAAATGGAGCTTTAATATCAAAAAATTATTTCTTGTCCCGTCATGTCAAAAAACCTCAGTGGAGTCACTTTAAAGTAGCTATTTTTTGTTTGGTAATAAGAGAAGTTTTAGCACTTTAAAAGTCAAAGCTTGAGTTTTGGAAATGTCTGTGAACATTGGCAATGGGAAGATTATACACAACATTATACCCACCCCCACTGTATATGTTAAATATAAATATGATTGTTTGATATTTATATATTGAATGTTACAATATCAACTCAAATTGTTGAATATCGTAAAAACATTGTCATACTTAGAATGGACACCTGGAATGAACAACCATAAATGTTCTGAATTTTGTATTACTATACAATTTATTTAAATAAGTTATATAAAACATACAATACAAATTAAATCATCACTTAAGTAAAAGTTATAGTTTGAATGATTAATAAATAAAAAAGCTTACAGTACATGTAGGTCCATATTATGAAAATATGAATTTTATATATACCATGTAATAAATTTAAGAAGTGGTGAGTTTGAAACTAACAAAATATATTTTCCAAAGTTTATGGTAACATTAATGAATTATTTTCAAACATTTCAGTACGGAGGGCCTTACAGTACCCTAAGTATGAGTATCGACTCATTATGCATGTAGTCTATGCTCCAAAGTACAACTGTTACTTTGCCCTCGGAAAAGATTTCTCCGTAAAGGTAAATCTCTCTTTTCTCTCTGAAGTAGTTGAATCTTTAGAATATTGAACATTTGTAATGGTTCTTTTCATTGGACAGCTGTGATGTTAACAATCTAACAGTGCTTTTCATTGGACAGCTGTGATGTCAATATATTATATACACGCATCTGCATTTAATTTATGAATTATTTTCAGTGTTAATGAAAGCAGTTGTGTAGTGAATAAAATTATTAATTTGTTGTGCAGATTTTTAACAAGTAATATAGCTGATTGTTTGCCTAGTATTAGCTGAAAACATCTGAATTTTTTTTGAACTAATAAAATAATGTTGGCACAAGTATGTTACAAGGATCCCATTCTATGCTATCAGTTTTAGCTCGATTGCAAAACAAGTCCTTGCAACTTATATTAATCACTTTCGAGAGACTGCTTCCTGAAACTTCAACCAGTACTAGTGTCATAAGAGGGATCATGATCATGACCAGAGTAGGGCTCAAACTCATGATTCCTGGGTTGAGAGGAAGACAACATTACCACCAAGCCACTGCTCCCCTTAAATTATTTTTTATTGTAATATATTTAAATTTTAACATGCAAGATTAAGAAGTTAATGAGAATGTAAATGTAGAAATCAAATTTTTATTTTTACAGGTGTTAAACAGAGACTTTGAGGAGACGTGTTCTGTGAACACTGACATGAGATCTGTATTATATATATTGTTTAATCCTGTTAGAGATGAACTTATTACGGGAGGTGTGGGTGGAATAAAGGTATGTACACTTATCATATCTGCTCATGACACATTCTTTTCTAGAAATCAACCTATTTTACATGTTGTACTTGTTTATATAATGTAGATACATGTATATGACATTTTGGTAAATTGTTGTAAAGCAAACTTCATCACTCATTTTAAGTTGTAACAAGTCAGAAATAAAAAACTTATACGTAAACATTCATCAAATAACTGTTTTCCAGTTGACTTCTTAAAAAAACTAGTATGTTTGACAGTTTGTATATTTATAAGTTGAACCTTAGAATTTAAAGTTTACTTTTTCAAAGGAAGACACCCTTTTGATAATTGTTTTTTTGTAGATTTGGCAGTTCCAGCAAGCAGCAGGGAAAGCATTTACAGAACTGAAACCTCTTGCCAACTATGAACTGAGAATCAAGTTAGTGTTGCTTTCATTGCTACAGCTTTTGTTTAACTTTCATGATGTCTTTATTTGAACATTGAATGGATTAATACCATAGAAACCAATGAAAAACTAAATAGATTAACTTTTCTAGACTCCAAACCAACTTTCTTTGGACAAACTTTTTAACATTTGTTGATGAACTTTATAAGAATATTTGACCTCTTGTGAATTTTCACACCATGGTAATTCATTGCAACTATATTAGAGATTAGCATATTAATGACCCCTAATTTAGCAAAAACTTAGCATATTCAGACATGTTACTATGAAAGGATAACTGCTTTGCACTAGTAATTGTACAGATTTTTTATGATAATGCAGCAGAATGTTGCGACATCCATGTCTTATGAACACATTTCTAATTTTGCTTTAATATGGTTAAGATGATATGTTACCTTCTACAACCAAGAAGTTAATATAGTGATACCATTATGGCCTTAAAAGTATTTATTTTACTAGATGAAATTTATATATAACACTACAGATAAAATATATATAAAACTCTGGTGAGTCAGGAGGTTGAAGTTGTATTCATTACATTTTCAGAGAGACACTGCCAAATGTAGGAGGTAGTTGGGTGAAGAAGGTAGAGTTAGATTACCACCTTCAACACCTGTACTGCTGTTCTGATACTGACCTACATGTTTATGATCTCACTGGCAAACTACTCTTCAAGTTTGAAAGGTTTGATTGTATTTAATACATGATTGTTCTGTATTCTTTTTATGTGTGATGTTTTTTTTTTAAATGAGAAAGTCTTGAAAAGCAGATTAAGTGATTGATCTGAAATTTTGCATGAAAGTTATTGGTCCAGCCCTTTATCAAATGGTATATTAATCTTGAAATGTTTCCATTTCCAGTTTCATCATGTAATTTAAACTTCAGTGGAGTCCCTTTAATTTCTAGTATGTAGTATGTATTTCAAACTCTTTAGTATCAAAAAGTTACAATGTATTGAAATCATTTAGTATTTTAGTAAACAATATAAGTATGATTTCTGACAGCATTAATAACACTGTTGTTTATTTATAATTTCAGAGCTCACACCATGTCTATCACAGGTGCTTGTTTCTCGCCATCTGCTAAAGTGTTAGTAACATCATCTGTCGATTCTGAAGGTATTTCAAGGGCTCAATATTGTTGCTTTTATGTTGTTGTTGTTGTTTTGCGGTACATTAACATGATGAAATTTAAAGGATTAATTCAATTGTTTAAAAGTTGTGCTTCTGTCTGTGCTTCTGTGGATAGGTTGTCAAATTAATGTTGTTTCGTATAACATATCAGATGATACTTTAAGGCTAGGTCTCGAGTTAAAAGTCCTTTCCAGTTCATGTACTTTTCACTTGTTTTTTTTCTAAACAAGGATTTGCATTTTCTTTGCACTTCTAAAAAACAAAAAACAAAAATATATATTTTCCTATATCATCAATGTGAACATTAAATAGATTTATAAAAGACACTATGTATTTTTATTATTTTCAGTAAAAGTATGGAGTTTAAATGGTGGACTGGTTCACACATTTCGAGGTCATTCTAGAGCTGTGACTGGTTTACTGTTACATCCAGAAACTTCCTCTATATTGATCACATGTTCTCTAGATGGTTCCATCAGAATGTGGTCCTTAGACACAATGGATCTACTATATATGTATGTTTTCTCAAGAAATAACTTCTTTACCTATAGCCAATATTAGTAAGATACTAGTATAGATTGCTTAATAGCTCAAGTTATTAAAGTTTTGTTTCCAGAATTTTGTATATTTATACAGTTCATTTGTCAAACAATTACATGAACTTTTATTGTACTGTGTTGATTCAGTATCAGAATTGAAAGTCCTGTGATACACTATCATACAGCTTATGAACATTTCATTTCATATGACATTTCTGATGTCTATGTCAAATCTAAGATCAAAATTAACAAATAAGCTTTTTGCTCAAAAGACTGGTCTTTGAGTCTTACGGCTGTTTGGTAACATTGTTGAAAGGAATTTAAACTGATTACCTATCCCTGATATGTTATTTTGACTTTGATGTAAATAGTGTAACTTGTCAGATAAACTAAAACAAGAGTTTGTTCTTGCGTGATGATTAGACCTTAAAGCTTGTATATTTACAGAAGCTTAATTGTTTTACACAGATGCCGAGTTGTCCTTAAAGTAATGCACAGAAGAAGGTCTTTTTGTCTACAGCAAAGCTAACAAGTTGCCACATGGGCTTTACTGTGTTTATAATACTTTAAAACCTTACAACAACAAAGAAAAGAAGGCTTAAATCCGGTCATTTGACATTAATACTAGATATGCTTAAACAATAAGAAGTATATTATTATGAAGGTTGCTGATGTTTGTTTATATTTTCTACAGGATTGTTGTGTCTGCTGATGGTGTAATGTGGATGGGACTGACTGATGACAAGTTACTGTATATCAGTACATGTAGAAACATTACACTGTGGCATCTAAATAACTTCTGTACTTTCTGGAGTCTAGCTAGGAACCAAGTCTCCAGTTTGTCATTGGCAAGTTGCCAGGAGAAAACTACCAGAGTGCTAGCTGTAGGGGAAGATAGTAGGTCAGTTGGTCTTTTTAGTATTTAGATAAAATCATTTTTAGAAGAAAAGAGAACAAACTTGACAGTTTTATTCTTCAATTTTAAAAAAATCTTTGTTAGTTTGGTCAGGTACGTATATTAACGGTATCCGCAACTCTATACAGTAAATCAATAACGGTAAATTATGCTGTCGTGGCAGATAATCCATCCAGACTGCCGATCGTTATTGATTTTTATCGAAGATTACATATGATTAAGCGGTGTGATATTTGACCTTGGTTATTTAAATTACCGTCAACATGTTATTTTCTGTTCAATTTTTTAAAAGTAACATATTCTAGAAAGCTGAAAGATAGATTTTTTCAAATATATATTTTATAAATCAGTGCGTTTAGTATGAAGAAAATTACGACGAGTTAAACACAGAGTTTTTTTTTTTGTCTCCCGATTATGTGAAAACTTCAGTAAAAATAATGATGCCCTCTTCGAGCAAATATAAGATTTTTTCGTCATTTATGGTCCGAATTTCGCAAAATACCTATCAACAGAAAGCTGAGAATTTGATCTTTTTAACCGTGCAATTATCATTTACAAAGCTAAATTATTTCTGGAATTGTAACGAGTAGAAACCGCAATTTACTACCAGCCAAATCGCGACTGCACACGAAAGAAATTTTATACACATGTAGTAACAAGTTATTATTAATTGTTTCGTCATTTTTGGCCGAAATTTGTGAAAAAATATTTATAAAAAGCTTATAAACTGTAGTTTTAAATTTTTTATTTTTCAATTTCTATTGCGTATCTTAAATAAATGCGGATAAGATATCGTGAAGAATCACATGGCCAAAATGATCTTGCATATTTCGAACGCAACTTTTACCATATATTTAACTTATTAAGCCCTTTATATTTTTTATTTGAACATTATTTTAAAGAATTAAGTTATCTATCTATCTATTTTTAAAATTGAATAAAAGTATGATTGTATAATTTTCAAACTGCACCAGAAAAGAGCTCTTATAAAAATGTTCGTTTTCTGAAAAACGGCCTAAACATTTTTTTGTTATGAAAGTATTGTGAAAAATAAGTACATTGTACTGTCATAATTGATGTTTGCTGCAGATTCAGTAATTGATTTAATCACGGTTATTAATGTGCATCTATTTAATTGTTCAATTGTGATAGTTTTCACACTTTTTCTATCAGTCGGTCCTGTTTGAAACTGCTTTTTAGTGGGTAAGGCTAGATTGTAATTACTATATCCAGTTGTTTTTATTTAAAACATATTCTCTTTGTTGCTTTTTATACAATTATATTGAGTAAACTGTTTCACCACTACATATGTCAGTATCTTTTCATGTTCTCTTGAATGAACGAACATGTTTTCGAGAGAATAGACATAAAGGTATTGGAAATGGTATTATCAGGTACCTGGTAGTAAAAAAAGAAATAAAAATGAAAACACATAAGTTTTGCCTTTTATTTTATAACTTGATTAAATAAAACTTCAATAGCATCGCACTGGCTATAAAATGACTGTTTATAGTGTTTTCATTTAGTGTCACTTTATTCCTGATATTTATTTGACACTTCTGGGACTCTCCTGGCACAGGCTGCAAATCTTTGAACTTTTGAGCTGTATCAGCATTCAGTGAAATTGTCGTGCAGATCTACCACTTTAAACCCTTGAAACACATTTGTTACGATCTGAAATAGATGAAATGACATTTAATATAAATATTTTGTTTTATCAACACAGAATAACCATGTACTAATGTTAATATACGTACCTGGAATAACTAACAAAAAAGAAGTTGAATATAACTTCTGAGTAAATGAAAAAAAAAATGGGGGAAAATTCATCCATTTTCAAAAAGACATAGCATCAAAATTACTCGACTGAAAATTATAAATAATATCATAAACCATTTACTATGATGTAGTGACTAACTTTTCAGCTTTCATTTATATTTTAAAGGTCTTTAAATACCTCTGATGCTTCGGCTAAAATAGGTCTTGAATTTAATTTTGCACCACAAAAATTTAACATTTTCCTTCAAATTCCACGCCACAAAAACAATAGAACAGATGATAAGGGAGTGTTAAAAGTACCTTCACGTCATACTTGAATTTATTTTAAACCGATTTGTGCAAGTTTAGTCAGTTTTCTTCGAGTGGTTTAAGCCTGATGTCTCTGCAGATTTTATACGTGTTCACTCGTTTCAAACATTTTGTAAATCTCATTCATCCAGAGTGGAATATTTTCAACCCGATTTACGCCATTGAAAGCGTGATCTAGTAAAAATTTACATACATAACAAAGAAATAAGAGTAACCTGTCATTATTTCTTGAGTATTTTGTGTAGATGCCCATAAATTAGCGCTTAATTAACATATTTTTTCATGAACTGAAATTGTTGCCTTCCGCCATTGATTAATGTTTTTCCTAGCATATGCGCATGCGCGTAAATGGCACGACACCAATCACGGTCTAAAATCTAGTTGCGGATACCGTTAATATACGTACCTGGTTTGGTGTCTACTTAAACAGTTGAAAAGTGATAATTTTGTCTGACATACTCATGGTAATCTTGCTGTTCAACTATTTTAACAGTCCGTGAGTGAGTAAAAAAACTGATATGATAATCTTGCATGTGGCTATAACTTGAAGAAAATATTACATCTATAAAAATAACCATTTCCTTTACTCATAACTTTAATATTACTTTAGATTTGAATCTGAAACTGTTTGTTATTGATCCCAGTGCTCCTGAGATGGATAATCATCTTTCTCTTTCACAACATTATTATTCTAGCTTGCCTTGATGCAGCATTGTGACATGCATGCCTTGTTTTGACTTAGCTGTGTAATGCTCCCAAATTATAATGTTTTTAATTGGAGTATTATTTTACTTTCAGTGTTAGAATCTTTTGCCGTAGTAACCGTAAGAACATAACAACAGTACTTCCTCCCCCGGATATTTCTCCACTACAGAAAGTGCTGAGTGTGTGTTACAGTAGGGAGAAAAATGCTGCCTTCCTTCTCATTACAAATAGAGAGATCTGGGTATATACTACCAGGTATGGTTATACTATCTGCATTATATGTGTACTTATGTTATTATTTAGGGATTATAAACTTAATTGTGGCAACTTCTATTGGGCTTCTTTTGGACATAAAGTTAGGATCTCCTTTTCTTTGTTTTTGATCTCCGTTGGGGTGGAGAAGGCATATAGATAATAGTTATTAAGAATAAGATATTGAAATAGAGTAGCTATCAATACAGGGTCAGATTTCACAGATTTTGTGAACTGGCTGAAATTCTGACTGCTTAGGCCAGTCTATTACTTTTACAGGTGAAAGAGTAAAATTAGTATTAGCTGTACTATTTGTAGAATATGGGACAGTTCTAATCAATCGGATGTCAGCATCATTTTAAATTGTTTCTTTTATCTGTATTTCATTATAAAAGGCAGTTTTGCGAAAATATTAGTGTTTTCCATTTGGACTACACTTAACATTTAAAAGTTCAGATGTACTTTTATTATATCATCAAGCTGTTTTGTAACACCTATATAATTATATTTTCAGGACAGATCCAGCATGTCGTATAGCTATCTGGGATGTACATGATTTACAACTACCTTATGTCAGTGGGGACACCTCAAATCTTCCACCTGGGTAAGTAAATTCATATTTATAATCTTGAAATAATTGTTATGTTGTCATGACATTTGCCATTTTCATGACTTTGTATTATATATTTGTTGAGGACTAGCGTGAACAGTCAGATGGTTTAAAAGTTCTAATAAAGGTCAAACATACTCATAGTGAGGGACATACGGTTTCTTCATCATGGTTGTCACTACCTTACCAATGCTCTTTGTGCAATTGTAATATACTTATATTTTTTATATTTCAGTGTTATAATCCAGCCACCTAGTCAGTCAGTAATAACTCACAGGGCTACAGAGAATGGTAACGGCAATGAGATTATATCTAACTGTAAAAGTTTATGTATACTAAACTCTACAGCTATGATGATGACAGATGAAGGTCTCACTTGTCCTATCAGGTCTTAATCTTTTATACACTTATAATACTAAATAGCTGTGTTTGAAATAGAGAATATCATATGAGTGTAGGTTTAATACTAAATTTATTGAACAAGTTGAATAAAATCATATTATGCGAGCATAATATTGTTTTATTCAACGAGTTCAGTAAATTAAGTATTAAATCTACACAAATATAATATTCTATTTATCACGTAATTATATAAAATAAGAATGGTGAACTGTTAACAAGAGTCATTTTAATTTGACTTGCCTATAGTGTAACGCTAACAGCGCGCTTTAAACGCTATGTTTATAGTTCAAATGACGTTATGTCAAAGTGTTATTACACTAGTGTAATATCGTCTAGTGTAATATCGATTTTATTAAATGACTTTATTACACTCCTTCGCCGTGGTTTATGCAATAAAAGCCACTTTTTACGGTTTTTTTTGTAAATTAACTAATTATTAAGATCATCATAGGCAATCAAGTATAAGATTATGAAATATATTGTGAAATAATGTTTTATGATTTGGCATACAAAATTGAATGATTTCTTTTTCTTTATGCATGTTTTATAGGCTGTATCTGATGTTTAAAGCATAAATTATTTAGAAGATATGTTAAAAAAGACAACATGGTTGAGCTTTCAAATTGTATTTTTCAATTATGCATACATTTAAGGTATTTAATAATTTGAATATATTTATTGGTAGGCATACATATTTATTACTTGGGATGGAAGATGGTAGGATATTGTTTATGGACCCTGTTATCAAAGGACAGAAGTACATGGAATTTAAAGCCTCCAAAGACGCTGTAAGGTTTACTTTTCTAGCTTCCAGTTTGAATGAAATAATTTTCATTATACATGTGTATAAATAAGAACAAAAATTTCAACCATGTGATAACAATAACTTATTTAGTAGAATGTTTGAGATGACTTGTTTATATTATTTCTAATAAGAACTTATAAGTTACATGGATAGTAATGTTTAATTTTGCTCAGTTAAGAAATATGAAAATATATTTCATTACTCAAAATTTTAATAAAAAACAAATCCACTAAAGGTCTGCATTTCATCATTTTTGTAATAACATGGTGTGTTAGTTGTCCTACACATTGTAACCTAAGGGGAGGTCTTATTGGGAGAAAATACATAAATAATTTATGTTCTAAAAATAGATACAGGAGATGCGTCATGACGTAGCACACAGTAGTTTGATGACATTATGTCGGCTGAAAACTCTAGTAATGATACAGATATGGGGCCTGCCTCAACTAGATGCTATGTATGAAGTTTATTGTGGACCTGATGTTACATGCTATGCTAGGGTGGTAAGTTGACATATTTATCCTGTCCTGTTTTTGTTAGACTGGAGTGTTTTTGAGGTTCTGTCCTGGTTTTTGTAAGACAGCAAAGTTTTTAGATTGTGAGTGTGGTAATGTTGGGAGATTTTGTCCTGTTTTGCTAGAGTGGAAAGTTTTAAGGTTTTGACCTGTTTTGCTAGAATGGTAATTTGGGAGATTTTGTCCTGTTTTGTTAGAGTGGAAAGTTTGAGATTTTTGCTTGTTTAAGTGCTAGGGTGATAGGTTTGAAGATTTTACTCTGTCTTGCAAGAGTGAAAAGATAAATTATTTTTGTATTGTTAGAATGGTAAGTTGGGGCATATTAATATTATCCTGTTTTGCAAGAACAGTAAATTGTGAGAAATTACCATGTTTTGCTAGAGTAGAAAGTGATAAGTTGAAAGACTTTGTCTTGTTTTAACTAGAATAAAAAGATGGGAGACTTTTTTAGCTCACCTGAGCTTGCTCAGGGTGAGCTTTTAGGATTGGTGAATGTCCGTCGTCTGTCGTCCGTCGTACGTCCACAATTGCTTGTGAACACTCTAGCGGTCGCATTTTTGCCTCAATCATCATCAAACTTGGTCAGGATGCTTATCTAGTTGAAAGCTCGGATGAGTTCGAACATGGCTCATCTCGGATGAAAAACTAGGTCACAAGAGCTAAAAATAGAAAAATCTTGTAAACACTCTAGAGGTCACATTTTTAACCCAATCATCATCAAACTTGGTCAGGATGTTTGTCTAGGTGATAGCTCGGATGAGTTCGAACATGGGTCATCTCAGATGAAAAAGTAGGTCACAGGAGCTATAAATAGAAAAACCTTGTGAACACTCTAGTGGTCACATTTTTGAACTAATCATCATCAAACTTGGTCAAAATGCTTGTCTAGTCAATTGCTTGGATGAGTTCGAACATGGGTCATCTCTGATGAAAAACTAGGTCACAGGAGCTAAAAATAGAAAAACCTTGTGAACACTCTAGTGGTCACATTTTTGACCCAATCATCATCAAACTTTGTCAGGATGCTTGTTTAGATAATAGCTCGGATGAGTTCGAATATGGGTCATCTTGGATGAAAAACTAGGTCACCGGAGCTATAAATAGAAAAACCTTGTTAACACTCTAGCGGTCACATTTTTGCATCAATCATCATCAAACTTGGTCAGGATGCTTATCTAGTTGATAGCTTGGATGAGTTTGAACATGGGTCATCTCTGATGAAAAAGTAGGTCACCGGAGCTAAAAATAGAAAAACCTTGTTAACACTCTATCGGTCACATTTTTGCATCAATCATCATCAAACTTGGTCAAGATGCTTGTCTAGGTGATAGCTCAAATGAGTTCGAACATGGGTCATCTCGGATGAAAAAGTAGGTCACCGGAGCTAAAAATAGAAAAACCTTGTTAACACTCTAGCGGTCACATTTTTGCATCAGTCATCATCAAACTTTGTCAAGATGTTTGTCTAGGTGATAGCTCAGATGAGTTTGAACATGGGTCATCACGGATGAAAAAGTAGGTCACCGGAGCTAAAAATAGAAAAACCTTGTTAACACTCTAGCGGTCACATTTTTGCATCAATCATCATCAAACTTGATCAAGATGCTTGTCTAGGTGATAGCTCAAATGAGTTCGAACATGGGTCATCTCGGATGAAAAACTAGGTCACAGGAGCTAAAAATAGAAAAACCTTGTTAACACTCTAGTGGTCACAATTTTGACTCAATTGTCATCAAACTTGGTCAGGAAACTTGTCTAGGTCATTGCTGGGAATAAATTGAACATGGGACATCTTGGATGAAAAACTAGGTCACAGGAGCTAAAAATAGAAAAATCTTGTTAACACTCTAGTGGCTACTGTTGTGATCCAAATATTCTGTTAATTGGTCTGAAAGTTTGTTTTGATGATTTCTAAGTCAAGATCGAACATGGGTCATCTTGGATGAAAAACAAGGTCACACCGCCCAAATATGGAAAAACCTTGTTAACATTCTAGTGGTCACATTTTCGACTCAATTATCATCAAACTTGGTCAGGATGCTTGTCTAGGTAATTGCTTGGATGAGTTCGAAATCGCATGTGAAACTAGGTCACCAGAGCTAAAAATAGAAAAATCTTGTTAACACTCTAGTGGCTACTGTTGTGATCCAAATATTCTGTTAATTGGTCTGAAAGTTTGTTTTGATGATTTCTAGGTCAATTTTGAATATGTGTCACCTGGGTAAAAAACTAGATCGCACTGCTCAAATATGGATAATCCTTGTTAACACTGTAGTGGTCACATTTTTACTCACCTGTCATGAGACTTGGTCAGAATGCTTGTCTAGGTAATTGTTTGGATGAGTTTGATAAGTCAGGTGAGCCATCTAGGGCCATCATTGCCCTCTTGTCTGTTTTGCTAGTGAGAGAGATTTTATCCTGTTGTGTTAGAGTGGTATATTATCCAGTTTTGCTAGAAAGATAGAAATTTATCTTGTTAGTTTAGAATGGTTAAATGAGATGTTTTATCTTGTTATGGTTAATTGATGAGTTGAAAGATTTTACTGTTTGACAACACTTTGATGTTTGATTTTCATGATTTTGTAACATCTCAGTAGTCTAATTTTATAGAAAAAAACGATACTTTAATAGATTCATTTTTAGTATGTAAGAAATTATTATTGCAGGGTTTATCAGTGTTGACAGGTCATTCGTCAGGTCAAGTCAATGTTCATCCATTGGAACAAGTGGAAGACCAAGGAATTCTTATCTCCAAACGTAGGTTACAATAATCATTTTATGTTGTCAGTCCTTAAACTATGTCATTTTTGTGTCGCCTTGAAAAATAGAGGTTACTTTTGTCAGCAGCATCAGAAACATCAGCAGCATCCTCTAGGCTTGTCTGGAGCATAACTCAGTCATTATAAGTCTGATTGACTCCAAACTTGGTATATTTGCTTCTTTCAATGACAAGTGCAGTGCTCAAGAATCATTACTCTCCACTTTTTATTTTTTGAGTTATTGTCCTTTGTTAATTTTCATACTTTATTTTTGTCCGGGCCATTTCTCCTAAAGTATAAAAGCTATGGACTTGAAAATTCAAAGGAGGTAGATCTCACTGAAATGAAGTGCAGTGCACAAGAACTGATTCTCTGTACTTCATGATTTTTGAGTTATTGCCCTTTGTTAACTTTCATACTTAATAGGCTGGTCCAAAGCATAACTTGGTCACTATAAACTATGACTTGGTCCAAATTTAGTATGCAAGCTTTTAAAGTGCAGTGCACAAAAATCCTTGATTAACTTGTAATGATGTTGTATGAGGAAACATGTTTGTTCCATTTTTTTTCTGATAAATTCACACAACCAGTGTTTCATCTTCTTGAAATGAATTTTATAGTGATTATTCTAGCACAGAATGACAGGGCCTTCCGCCCTGCCCCTTTTAAGTCCGCCCTTTGTCTCTAAAACACCGCCACGTATACTTAAATGCGCCCTGCTGGCCTCTTTTATCAATATGTATACACTATTAATATGTATACACAAAATCTACTTATAAATAATGTTAAATATTATATTAATAGATAAACATTTAATTAAGGAACATATTGTGGTACTTCTCATACATCTGCTTGTGGCAAAAATAATGCACATAGGGCCATCTTAGGTCTGTAAAGATAAAAAGTCGCTGATTTTAATACAGCATTACAACAAAATGTACTTGAACTTGAGAAATGGTTGAACTTGAAACACATATAAAATGTTTCAAGTTTATAGGATGATGTTTAAGACTTCTTATACTATGCAATGATTATATTGGTAATTTATGATTTTAATACAAGTTTCCTCTAATGTTGCTTTAGACAAGAAAAGTGGATATTTATTTGTTATTGTTAGCAACATGTTTTTTATTTCAGAGGAACCACAGTATGAGAATATAGTAGATGAGAAACGTAGACCTGAACATCATGGTCCTGTCGTTGCCATGGACGCGTTAGCCTCACTACAAATATTTGTAACCTGCAGGTAATTATATGATTTGTTATAAAGATTTTTGACAGGTTATAGGGCTATATATATAAGGTTCTTTACAATATAACCCTCACAGCTCCTGTCAGGAATCTTTATAATGAATCTATAATACAGTAAATTTCCTTTTTAGAGTAAAAAATGAGATTTCTTTGTAAAATGACAGCAGCTGTGCCAATATAAAATTATATATGTGACCCAATTGTCCAATGAAATGCATCGTTACAAATGCGCAGTGTTATAAAAATTAATAAACACTGCTTTTCTTAAGTCAACATTTGCAAATATTGAAATGTTTTAATATAAGAGGTTAATTTGTTATCATTTAGTACTTGTATTAAATACATAAATTTTCTCTTTTCCTATAAAATGACTTTATTACGAAATAAGCATTTTTTTAATGTTGAAATGATATTTCTATTATTGTTGTTAAGGTGATGATATTATTGATATACAAAATTTTTGTATGTCCTATTTCTCACTTTATTATAAAACCTGCTTGTCAGCATATATTTTAAATTAAAAACATAAATGAAAAATTGAAAGTGAAATTTGATATAACTTAAAGGAATAGGAATGGATGGAATGATGTCTGTCTTATATAAATATTCATCATTTAAAAAGAGGAACCATGACAGTTTTCCTATTGACATCAACCCTATAAGAGAGAAATTCGTGTTTTAAGACACTATTTTTTACTTGAGAAATAAGTTCATGGGCGCCGCCATTTTGGCGTTCTGTCATTCTCGCGAGACAGACGAGACCGAGATTGTGACGTGTTATACCCACTTCCGGTATAGGTGTACACGCTGGTACAACTGAAATATATCTTGATGAAGAACTTATTAATTTAATTGCGTACATTATATATTATTTATGAAAACATCATATGGAACTGAATTGCTTTAATTAATTAATTTAATTATTTTATTGAAGACGCCGCGACATAAATTATCATTTGTCCGATATTCAAGCTTGCTGATGATCCCACCACATGATTTAAGCAATGACTGCTTAATTTTCAAAGATAAACCATAAATTTAATTTGGGTACTATGAGAAACTTCTTTAAATTGACGATATATCCTTTTATTTTGTACAAGCTGTCCAAATAGGGTACATCGCCGGTCATGTATCTTTTTTTTTCAGGTAAAATATCAACTAAATCCAAGGACGCGATTTTCCGCCATTGACGCTAAAAATGAGAAAGGCGCAGGAAAATCGGCAGCCAGACTAATATCGTATGAAAACAAAACTGTCCGTTAGGTTATTTAGGCACCCAGTCAAAACTGGTACCAACAGCAACAGGTTGCCCATTCCCCTATAATTACGCATATTCTCGGGTTTATCCAGCTCCCTAAAGCTTTTTTCCACGTTATCTACTTACCAAATTCCTTTCCCGACAGATACGCATTACTACTACCGTAAATTTAATCCAATAAAACAAAAAATCATAAATCTACTTAATATTTAAAATGATTATTGGTAACTGAAAAAATGTGTTGCTATTTTATGACGTGCTGTAATTTACTACAGTATAATTTGACAGGTGTGGAACCTAATCCCCCCTAAGGTCATTCAGTTCACTGATGAAGCGTAAAAAAATAGATGTCTATTTCGTCATAAGAATATTTGACAAGGGTGATTGTCCAATCAGGGCAACATTGTGCATGATCAAAAGGTCTGTCGGCACTCAGTACACAGTGTGACAGGAGCATTTGGTGCAAATTAGGAACAATTAAAATGGACAATGCGCAGTATTAGACATAAGTAGTAAGAACCAGCAATTGTGTGAATAAATTATGCAAATTAGATTTTTGAGCAGCCAATAAAAATGATTTGCCTGCAGTTAATATTAGGCTATGATTACGATGCGCAGCATCATACGTTGACAGACATGTTAACAATTTACTTTTCAAAAGAGTTGCTTATATTTTTGAAATGTGTACATCAATTATAACATATGTTCACACCTTTAAATTTGAAAGTCAGAATCAAACTGCAAAAATTTAGTTATATGTACTATTAAGAACACGTTTTAGTGGAAGTGGCTAGCGTACGGGCCCGTACGGCTAGCCAAAAGTTTTAGCCGTACGTGAGTCACGTACGACTAGCAAGGACACGCTGTATTGGCTAGCCTTACGGCACTTTTCAAAATTTTATGGAAGTCGAAAATGCATATGTTATTTTATGACTTTAAGCGAGGATTTTAACCAAGAAACAGCATTAATTGTCTTTGGATGTTAACTTTTTAGAGATTAATCGCCTTCATCGCTATATATATCGATCTTTGTCATCGCAAGATGTCGACTTTGCTTGCATTTACACCAATTGATACGTGTATTATTAGAATTTGTTCTCATATCTATGTATATTACATACTGAGATATATTTAATAAAACTTGAAACTTGAAATAGTTTACAAAATTTTGATAATAATCCTTTTTTGTTTCATTAAGTTTAATTTTCGACACCTTTTATATGAAAAAAAAAGGAACAAACACTGAAAATGATTGTTGTTAGGCTCTTGATAATTGCGACAATTACCGACGGTACTGTATAGAAGTTTGTCCATCAAGGAAAGTTTGCATGTTCCGTGAAAGGCATACTAAAATTCTATTGTCAGTCCCTGGATAGGTTTTAATTAAGGCTAATTAATTGATTGACTGTGCTTTTATGTTCGATATTTATCTACTGTTTTGAAAATTATATAATTATTTTTGCATTTCACCGTTTTTTTTCATTCAATGTTCTTTTTATTTATTTATTCCACTCCGATCATTTTTTATTCGACCCATGTACTTAAAATTAACAAAAATGATTTAATAATTCATACAAATAAAACAACAAATGATAAGCATGAAAATCAACAATTTTATAACGTTCGACTTCCATATAATTTTGAAAAGTGCCGTACGGCTAGATAATACGTACAGTGCGTCCTGGCTAGTCGTTCGTGACTCACGTACGGCTAGAACTTTTGGCTAGCCGTACGTTTCTTTATTTATTATTATTATTATTATTATTATTATTTTGATATTGTTACGTATTTTGAACCATAAAAAATCTCCTCTTCACCTCCTGTGAAAATTAAATTGTCTGGTCAATACTTTATTATATTAATATTTCCTTACGATTCAACTAGATTTATCATGAATCTAAAGATGTGGGGAAATGACATCACGCGCACCTGTTTTTATACGGCCAATATACAAACATGGCCGCGCTTACTGATTTGTAGAAATCGGTGATTTGGCGATTTAAATTTTGTTATCATTCGTTTAATATTATTATTTGGCGGCAGAAAATTTGCAGACTTATTATTTATAGTATTCTTTTTCTGAAATCAAGTTTTTATTCTAACCTTGTCTTTCCCTTTAAGCTGATATCTTCCTATTATGTTAGATCTGTTTCACAGCTGTACTTTAATACATAGCCAAGTTTTCTTAATATAGAGGATATTGAATGAATGTAGATTTAATACTAAATTTATTGAACAAGTTGAATAAAATCATATTATGCGAGCCTCTGGTGATCATAAAACTGTATTGTTTTATTCAACAAGTTCAATAAATAAGTATTGAATCTAGACAAATATAATATTCCATTTATCACATATAAAAAATAAGAATGGATTACAAAATAATCATTGATGCCCCTATAGAGTAATGCTAACATTAGTGCTCTCTAATGCTATGTTTGTATATAGCGCAGATGAAGTCACATCTAACCGTTATTACACAAGGGTAATATTGGGTTTTTTTTATAAATGGCTTTATCACATAAACCGCGGCACAGGAGTGTAATACAGCCATTTAATAAAAATGATATTACACTAGTGCAATAACACTTTAATGTGATGTCATTTGCGCTATATATAAACAAAGCATTAAAGCTCGCTAATGTTCCATTGCACTATAGACACATCATTGAAAAATTACTTTCTTAGCAGTTTACTTTCTTAGCAGTTTACCATTCTTATTTTATATATGTGATAAATAGAATATTATATTAGTGTAGATTCAATACTAAATTTATTGAACAAGTTGAATAAAACAACATTATGCTTGCCAGAGGCTCGCATAATATGATTTTATTCAACTTGTTCAATAAATTTAGTATTAAACCTACACTCATTTAATATTCTACACTGCTGTGCTGTAGTTAATTTGATAAAGTCATATTTTTAGCTCACCTGTCACAAAGTGACAGGGTGAGCTTTTGTGATCGCTTTTCGTCCGGCGTCCGGCCGTCCGTCCGGCCGGCGTCCGTCCGGCCGGCGTCCGTCCGTAAACTTTTACTTTAAATGACATCTCCTCATTAACCACTAAGCCAATTTCATCCAAACTTCACAGGAATGTTCCTTTGGTGGTCACCTTTAAAAATTGTTCAAAGAATTTAATTCCATGCAGTACTCTGGTTGCCATGGCAACCGAAAGAAAAAACTTTAAATATCTTCTTTTAAAAAACCATAAGAGCTAGAGCTTAGATATTTGGCATGAAACATCTTCTAGTGAGTGTCTACCAAGTTTGTTCAAATAAAAGCCCTGGGGTCAAAATTGGCCCCGCCCCGGGGGGTCATTGATTTTCCCTATATACATATAGTAAAAACTTAAAAAATCTTCTTTTAAAGAACCAAAAGAGCTACAGCTAAGATATTTAGCATGAAATATGTTGTAATGGGTGTCTACCAAGTTTGTTCAAATAAAAGCCCTGGGGTCAAAATTGGTCCCGCCCTGGGGGTCATTGATTTTCCCTATATGCATATAGTAAAAACTTAAAAAATCTTCTTTTAAAGAACTCAAAGAGCTATGGCTAAGATATTTAGCATCAAACATGTTCTAATAGGTGTCTACCAAGTTTGTTCAAATAAAAGCCCTGGGGTCAAAATTGGCCCCGCCCCAGGGGGGTCATTGATTTTCCCTATATGCATATAGTAAAAACTTAAAAAAGCTTATTTTAAAGAACCAAAAGAGTTAAAGCTAAGATATTTACCATGAAACATGTTCTAATAAGTGTCTACCAAGTTTGTTCAAATAAAAGCCCTGGGGTCAAAATTGGCCCCGCCCCGGGGGGGTCATTGATTTTCCCTATATGCATATAGTAAAAACTTAAAAAATCTTCTTTTAAAGAACTCAAAGAGCTAGAGCTAAGATTTTTAGCATGAAAAATGTTCTAATAGGTGTCTACCAAGTTTGTTCAAATAAAAGCCCTGGGGTCAAAATTGGCCCCGCCCCGGGGGGTCATTGATTTTCCCTATATGCATATAGTAAAAAAACTTAAGAAATCTTCTTTTAAAGAACCAAAAGAGCTAGAGCATAGATATTTAGCATGAAACATGTTCTAATGGCTGTCTGCCAAGTTTGTTCAAATAAAAGCCCTGGGGTCAAAATTGGCCCCGCCCCGGGGGGTCATTGATTTTCCCTATATGCATATAGTAAAAACTTAAAAAATCTTCTTTTAAAGAACTCAAAGAGCTATGGCTAAGATATTGAGCATCAAACATGTTCTAATAGGTGTCTACCAAGTTTGTTCAAATAAAAGCCCTGGGGTCAAAATTGGCCCCACCCCAGGGGGTCATTGATTTTCCCTATATGCATATAGTAAAAACTTAAAAATCTTCTTTTAAAGAACCAAAAGAGTTAAAGCTAAGATATTTAGCATGAAACATGTTCTAATAGGTGTCTTCCAAGTTTGTTCAAATAAAAGCCCTGGGGTCAAAATTGGCCCCGCCCCGGGGGTCATTGATTTTCCTTATATGTGTATAGCAAAAACTTAAAAAATCTTCTTTGAAATAACCCAAATAGCTAGAGTTAAGATATTAAGCATGAAACATCTTTTAGTGAGTGTCTACAAAGTTTGTTCAAATAAAAGCCCTGGGGTCAAAATTGGCCCCGCCCCAGGGGTCATTGATTTTCTTTATATGTGTATGGCAAAAACTTAAAAATCTTCTTTGAAAAAAACCAAATAGCTAGAGTTTAGATATTAAGCATGAAACATCTTCTAGTAAGTGTCTACAAAGTTTGTTCAAATAAAAGCCCTGGGGTCAAAACTGGCCCGGCCCCAGGGGTGTCATTGTTTTTAACTATATGTGTATAGTAAAAACTTTAAAAAAATCCTCTTTCAAAAAGCCCAATGAGCTAGAGCTTAGATGTTTAGCATGAAACATCTTCTTATGGGTGTGTCTACCGAGTTTGTGCAAATAAAAGCCCTTGGGTTAAAATTGGCCCTGCAACGTTGGGGGGGGGGGGGTTGAGGGGCCTATATACAGGTGAGCGACCTCAGGGCCATCATGACCCTCTTGTTTATGTAAAAATATTGAGACATAGTCACATTAATTTTCTAATAATTCAAATTAATAAAAATGCAAATTTTTTTAACGAGTTTCTTAAGTATATATGTAACAAATTTTGTATACACGTATTTGTATTTTGAAAACCCTTGCCATATCAATGTGTATATGTAAATGTCTTTTTTGATTTTCACATTGATATTACTGATATTATATAAACCGTCTCATATTTTGTAGTTCTGATGGTGGTATAAAGATATGGGACGAGGGTAAAGTGTTGTTGACAGAAGTAATGTTAGAGGAATCTCTAAGTGCTGCAACTTTCTTCAATGAAATGGGCGACCTTCTTGTGGCCTTCAAAAACCATATCTTCTATATAGATCATACAAAATGTAAGTTATTTATTTCATACGCTCAGACCTGTTCCTAAAATATCATCTATATTAAAGATGACCTCATAATCAAACCATTGCTGAAGGCCGACATTTGAAAAAGCCATCGAGCTAGTTGCTAGGCAATAAATTGAGTCCTAGGAGAGTACATAAAATCTTAACTGAAGTGCTTTAGATAACTTAAGTAGTGTTCATTTAGCTTGATATATATATATGTGTGTAAACTATAAGCAAGGGAGTATATATATTTGACCATATTTTCTAGAACATCAAAAACAATAACTAGGAAATATTGATCTAATTTTGATTTGTGAGTAAATCTTATGTATTTACTTTCATACCATTGAAAAACGAATGATTATTACTATGTTTAATAATCACTAGAAATGTTATTCTATATTTCAGTATGTCCAGCATTTAAACCGCCAGAGATTGAAATGGAAACTTCTGACCAGGGTATTGTTATTTTGTCCCTTCATCCCCTACTTTATTATATGAGTTTGGTTTTAATAATGACATAACAATTTCTGAACTAACGGAACAGCTAGGAGTTCATACTTACAGAGAAAATGATGATTTCTTGTATTCTCAAAGTGATGAATGAATTCAATCATGAGATGTCAAGAGTGATTTCTGTTTATTATAGCTTTAAAGTGCTAGCTTATAGAAAGTCCATGTATCTACACAGGACCTTAGTATACTCACCAATGGATTTCTGAGGTCTTTTTCTGTTTTTTGTTGTACTTAAATGACTGACATAATTTTATAAAACTTGTATGGGATTTTTTATATTGAGTGAACTAGTAAATTTTAATTATTTTACATATATTTTAAAACAGAGTCTGATGTATATGAGGATCCTCGAGTATTGTATGAGATGATCAGAGATGATGAGGAGCCTGTTACATTAGAAAACTACCTGGTACGCTGGCATTGTTCTTTATCTTAAAGTTATGAGAAATAAAAAATGAGCCGCGTCACGACAAAACCAACATAGTGCGTTTGCGACTAGCATGGATTCAGACCAGCCTGCGCATCCATGCAGTCTGATCAGGATCAATGCTGTTCCCTTAAAACCCTATAACAAGTAGAGAAACTGATAGCGCACAGCATGGATCCTGATCAGACTGCGCTGATGTGCAGGCTGGTCTGGATCCATGCTGGTCGCAAACCCATTATGTTGGTTTTGTAATGGCGCTGCTCAAATAGGTTTTAAAGATCTTTCAGTGGACAACTTTTTCTCCCTAAAAATATCACAAGCATTCTACATTGTTTTTGCATTGATTAGGAACAATTTCATACAGATCTTCATGAAGATCATCACATTTACAGTATTTGATATTCAAGATCACAATTTTCCAAACAGGAATGCCATTGTTTTTGGCATGAAAAGCAACAACTGAACAGTAAAACTTACCTAGAAACACTTTTGTAAAAAAGAATAAAAATCTTATTTTAATAAGTTAAATATTTATAAAAATACAACCACTTTTTTCAAATATAAAAAAAAAGACTGACAGAATGTTGTTAAGCATCAGGTTAGCTGCCTAGATAGTGATGATTTAATTAATTGCATGTTTTATTTTGCAGGTACCTTATGATCATCTTGACTTTGACAAGGATTTTCTGGAGGGTAAAACAAAAATAGAACAGCCAAAAACTGCAGCTGAAGCCATGGAAAGTAGTGTAAGTGTTGAGAAACCTGTCAGAGTAAAATGGTCTGACCTTTAACACTAAATTGACTGTTTATTATATAATAGACCAGCCATGTTTTGAATTAAATTGTCATAATCAGCAATTATTAAACCTTTATCAGTTTGAGGCATGTAGTGATTTAAGTATATATTTAAGTTGATTAGTACCTATTTACAAAATTAAATTGGTCAGGCGTGGCGCATTATGTAATTTATTCGAGAAGTTACTATATATATATTCTAAGGGCTATTAAGTCTAATTAACTATATTTATATCCTATGGACAATGAACTCTGTATATCTTAAAGAAATAACTTTACATATAGATCTGTATGTGTATTGCAGGGGCAATTAAGTCTTAATATATTTAAGAATTAATAATTTTCATACTCGTACTCTGTATGTCTTAGAAAAGTAACTATATTTATATTCAAGGAGCAATAACTCTGTATGCCTTAGAAAAGTTTTTATATTTATATTGTAGGGGCAATAACTCTGTATGTCTTAGAACATTAACTTCTATATTCAAGGATGTTGTAGAAAAGTAACTGTATTTATATTCAAGGGGCAATAACTCTGTATGTCTTAAAATGAACTTTATATATATTTTAGGGGCAATAACTCTGTATGTCTTAGGAAAGTAATTATATTTATATTGTAAGGGCAATAACTCTGTATGTCTTAAAAATTAATTTTATCTATATTGTAGGGGCAATAACTGTGTATGCCTTAGAAAAGGAGTAACTATATTTATATTGTAGGGGCAATAACTATGTATGTTGTAGAAAAGTAACTATATTTATATTGTAGGGGCAATAACTATGTATGCCTTAGAAAAAATAATTATATTGATGTTGTAGGGGCAATAACTATGTATGTTGTAGAAAAGTCACTATATTTATATTGTAGGGGCAATAACTCTGTATATATTTTACAGGAGAGTGAAACAGAGACTGATATATCACTAGCTCCATCTTCTATATACCTGTCTCCTGCTGAAAGTATTGAATCATTATCTATGATTGATCTTACACTAGGGGCAGATTACTCTAAATATGATCTTCGTAAACAAATGAAGGCAACACTGGATTACATGGGCACAAAAGGTGGGTGTCTTTAGTACATGAAGTAGTGATGTACATATATTAAAGATTGGTTTAAGATTTGGTGAAGGTTTTGTTTTGTGTGATTGATTTAACCTTTTTTGTTTATATTTAATAACTTAGAAGGTTTTTTTATAATTTATAAAAATTAAAAACCATTCTACTTGTAAGCATTAAAGGTGTGTAAAATGTTTAGCAAAACTGACATGTATAATTTTAATGGTATGGTAGTATATTGAATATATAACTTGTGTTTGAAAGCACCACTTAATTGAGTCATCTTTGTTTGCAAGAGTGAGTAGGCATACTGTGTTATGACTGGGACACAGGATTTAATTATAGATTTTTTTCTTATGTAAAGGAAGAAATTTTTATATAGTGTTACATAAATGACTTGTATAGAACATTACTTGCTTTGTGAATAATTCTTGGGTGCAATTTTGTATCTCATAAGTTATATTAAACAATTTATGACTTAGTTCTAAAACAAATAAATCTGTGTCCAAGCACTGCATGAATGAACCTTGTATATAATATAATATGTAATGAATGGATTCACAATACCCAGGTAATTGATATCAAGTATATATCAGCATGAGATTGTTTCCCAGAATGCATTTCCCAGAAGGCTTTTTTTTCTTATCTGCATGAAATTTTGTAGAAATGTTTTATTTCAGGAATGATTTGAGCCGCGCCATGACAAAACCAACATAGTGCGTTTGCGACCAGCATGGATCCAGATCAGCCTGCGCATCCGCGCAGTCTGATCAGGATCCATGCTGTTTGCTTACAAACCCTATTATAAGTGGAGAAACTGATAGCGAACAGCATGGATCCTGATCAGACTGGGCGGATGCGCAGGCTGGTCTGGATCCATGCTGGTCGCAAACCCACTATGTTTGTTTTGTCGTGACTGGGCTCATTTGTATTATTTACACTAGGTTTGCTGTTTTTCAGTGAAATTATATGATATATTTTGTGTTTAGCTCAGGAAATGGAGAAATGGAAAGACATGGCCCCAGCACGTGTTTACCTTAAATTACGCAGAATCCAGATAGCTAATGCTAAAACATCAAAACATGTTTATAGAAAGAAAGTTAGAGGTGACATGTTCCCCCCTGCATAGCTTTAACCCTGCCTCTATTTTTCAACCTTTGTTCTTTCCAATTTATTTTCTTAATTTCTTTCAAACAGTGTGTTACGATTATGATACATGTGGTTTTATAAATCTATTTTATACTTATATTTTAGGAAACTGCATATGTACTCTGTTATTTAAAAATATAGACACTTGTTTTTGGATAAGAATGCAGAAAAAGTTTTAAAAGTTTTACATGATCAGATTGACTTATCATTTGCAGGAATTTTATCAGTTGTGGCAGGTACAATTCTTAGCATGTCTTAAATTGTCTTTGTTAATGTTGCCTCAACTCTGAAAGAAACATAATGTTATCATTTAAAAAAAAAATCTGATTAAAGCACAGAAAAGTATTGCTTTCATTAAAAAAAAAAATCTAATTTTGAAGTAAAGAAAAATATGACACTGTTTGACTTGTTTTCGTTAGTACATGCATTTTTTGTAGCATTTATATCTGGTACACTTGTAGTTATATGACATCTTAGTTTCAGTTACTTTTATAACTGTAATTTGTTCTTTAACATTCTTCTCTCCTGTTCCTTTTATTATCCCTGCAGGAAGCTTTTTTTCAGTAGCCAGGTTGAAAACCTTTCCCTTATTTAGATCAACATATTTTACACCTTTAGCTTATATTATCTGCAGTCTTATTTTTGCATAAGCCAATTTGCACCCAGTCTTTTGCTAACATTTGATCCTCCTATAAAAACCATTGTATAACCATATAGTAGAATCTGTGCACATATCAAACGATAGTGATGGAAATACCTGGAAAAAAGTGATCTCTCGGAAGCATTAAAAACAGCAAAATTACATGAAAATTGCAGTCTCAGTTTGATTTGGAAGAAAATCAGTTAACCAATGTATATTGTTGTTAATATTTATAGTAGCAAAAAATGTGACAACATTAATCTTACGTGGCATATTCATTACAATATCTATAAATAACCTATTAATATATTAAATGACAGTAAAATTAGCTAGAATTTTACATAATGTTACAAAAAAAAACTTTCTTCATTTTACTATATTATTATTAAAAACATAAGAAGAATGTAATAACTGAAACTTTATTTTCATCTTAATTTATTTTGTTTATCACAACTATACTAGATATTGCTCAAAACTGCCTAACTTAGTCTTACTGAATTTCTAATTCCTGCAACTATTTCACTGAATTTTTTATCCTTATATTTTATAACCTGTTATGTTTAACCCTTTACCTGCTGGTACAGAAAGTGACAAACCTTTGCCACCAGTATAGAGCCAGGCCAGCCTGTCTGATCAGGTTCTACACTGGCAGGCTAGCCTTTATACTGTTGGTAGCTCAATTTTTGTACTTTGTTTCTGATTTCCCTAAAACTTTCAATGGATTGGTCCAATTTGGTTTTAAAGCAGTGGTAATCTATTACACATTCAGTAGGTAATGGGTTAACCCAAGAAAACATTATGTTGTATTTTCATGTTGATATTTCAGATGATGATAACCATAATTTATTAGATCTTATTTTAATTGAAAATTGTAAATTTCTTTCTTACTTCTTATAATGCATATAGTTTTGTTTAATGTGATTATATATTCCACATTTTTCAGTCATTGAATGTAATAATCACTCATAATTTATCAAAATAATAATAATAATAATTTACAAGATATAAATAATATTCAAAAATTTTGTTTTACTATTGAAGATATAAATCCATATTAAGTATGTTTTAGTGATAAGCAATTCTGTGACAAAGATAATAATTATATACATGTATAAATGATCAATATCTTTATCTATAAAATTGTATATATTAAGTTATATGGAATGATAAATTTATACAAAATGCAATTAATTAGCTACATTCAAATATTTATTGTTACATACATGTTGACTCTTCAACTGTAACTGAAATGAACCGCATCACGACAAAACCAACATAGAGCATTTGCGACCAGACTGATCAGGATCCATTCTGTTCTCTAACCAACCCTATTACAAGTAGAAAAACTGATAGCGAACAGCATGGATCCTGATCAGACTGCGCGGATGCGCAGGCTGGTCTGGATCCATGCTGGTTGCATACGCACTACGTTGGTTTTGTCGTGACGCGGCTCAAATATTAATTGATTTAAACTATAATTTTATCACCTACAGGAAAGAAACGCCAGAAAAACGTCATGATAGAAACATTAGCCCAGTCTGACATGGAAGACAAGGAAATAGAGATGGAACTTGAGAAATTCTCACTACCTGTTTTTGGAGATTCCCCAGGGGGTTCACCCAGCATTACCCCTCCCTCGGGACAGGCATCACCCAGAAGACGTGACCAAACCCAGGCAAGATTTTCTTGTTATTTTTTGCCCCAAGAAAAATGAATAAAGTTTATTTATAAATGAATGGAAGTCATTTATGGAATTAATGTTTTACAGATTTTCATCATAAGCATTTAATAGCCTGCCTAAAAGACAAAGGGGGGGGGGTATGATAATGGATTTGCCCTGCTTTGAATTTTTAACAGTCTATTTAGACATTAAGAAAATACAAAAAAAAGAAAACGCAACTGAACAGAGCCTGATCAGACTGCAAGGATGTGCAGATGTGCCTTGCTTAATACTAAGTGGCAAAGGTTAATCACTTTCAATTCCAGTAGGGTAATGAAAGTCAATTATTTGATTACATAAAAGTTTTTTTTTTATTTTTTTTTTTATTTTTTTTTTTACAATACACATATACAAATGATTGGTGATCTACATCCATCTGAATCCTTTTTATGTTTAAATAAATGGACACCTCTACTTTATGCTAATGTAATTTAGTTGGAAATTATTTTGATTTTATCAGATCAAGTAAATTGTTTAAATAACATGAATGTTAACACATTGAATGCCAGTGTAATCATGATATGTGTTGAATTAACAAATGAATTGTTTCATCATTGATAGGAAGCTGATGAGTTAAGTGATGATGAGATAATCCAGAAAAAACCATCAGGTTTTGTTCCTATAGTACCTGATCAAGGTAGGCAATATTTTCTAACAAATTGTTTTATGGATTGCCATATAAATATTAGAAATGTTGGTTTGAAGTTTAGCGCAACAAACTTTTATAAGTGGATAAATTGAATAGATAAAAAATCATTGGTATGTTTAACATTTGCTGAAACCAAAGAAGTTTTTTTCTCCAAAATTGAGATATTGTTTGACAAGGAACTTCTTGATGAGTTGCATAACTACAAATCAACAATTTTTAATGGATGGCCATTCATTTTTATTAATGCTATGTTTATTTATAAATCCATCATATATAAAGCAGATATATTTTTTTTCATAATTAGCTTTATAAAATGCTTATTAGAGAAAGAAGAAATTTAGTCCAAGAGAAGAGTAGTTTATTTTTATGCATGTTTGCTAAATAGTTGCTAGCATAAGAGAAGTATTATCTAACATATTTTAATTGTATATGCTGTTGATTAATTGTTTTATAACTCAATGTTAATGGTTTGTTTATATGCTTTGACCAAAATATTGTTATTGTGTTTGGATTTATCATTGTGATTGTATAAGTCCTTCATGTGGCAATATGGCAATAACTCGTATGAAGTACTGTTGGAATTGTTTAGATATTATATCATGTTTATTTAAATCATTTTCGTTTTATGTTTTTACTTCATACCTGTTTGTTATGTATATTTTATTCAAGAGTTTAATATGATAATAATGTACATTTAACATTTAACTTTTTCTGAGTCATCAGCATTTTAATTCTTCTCTTTAGCTAAGCAGGAAAGAAAGAATTTTATATGATTTATTTTTAATTGTTATCAACTTTTCATTGTTAAATCATTAATCATTAACCATGCATGATTGTACAGATATACTCAACAAAAGTATTTTTTATTCTATTTTCCTTGTAGCTTTATCCCCTACCCCATCAGAGAAAGGGTCAACATCGACCAGAACTTTGACCCCAGAATCATTTATCATTCATTCCCGTACCCCATCTTCACCCACCAAACAACACACTGCTTCTCCCATTAAAGACATGTACCAAGTAAATACTAAAAGAATTCAGTCAGAAATTCAAGAAACATCAACATTTAAGCCAACATTTTCTAGTGGTGCGACACAACTTAAGAAATCAGCTTTTAAGACAAAAGCAAAATCAAAATTACAATCAAGTCAGCACCTTACAGGATCAGCACCAACACATACAATTACAAGCATAAAGAAACCTATACCCATTAAGCCCCCTCTCAAATCTCCTCAGACACAACTGCCAGAAAAAGTATCAGATTTAACTGTGAAATCTGACAGATTTGAAACTGTATCAAAAATGCCATCAACAAAAACGCTTGTCACAAACAGCACAGAAAAGATGTTTAAACCAGTAACAACTCCATTGCAATCATCAGATGTACAAAATAAACCAAACATTGTGCTAATAAGAAAGAGTCATACAGAATTAATAAAGGAGAGAGCACTGGAAGCAAGACTCAAAGTTCAGTCACTAAAGAAGGATACTACAAAGTTAAAACCAAGCAAGGGGGATGAAAGTCATAAAGAAGGGACAGACAAGGGCCCAATTGAATCTGAAGACAAACCTAAAACTGCTTCAAGCGAATTTGCTCTTGCTATGATGGAGTTTATGAAATCTGAGGCTGCATTAAAACAGAATGATTTGGATAAGGTGGATACATCAAAAGATGATGATTCAGCAAAAACTGAAAAATTTGTTGACCTAGGACCAGACCAGACAACCAAACAAGATGAACATGATGAGGAAAAAACTGAAATTGCTACCAAAGAGAGTATAAAAGAGGCAGATAGTGATGTTGAAAAGGTAGATCAGGATAAAGTTACAACAGAAGCTGTAGAGGTTGATGCTAAATCTGTAACGGAGACAGAACTGCAGTCTGATGCTGATTCTTGCCTTGCAACATCAATAGGGACCATGTCCCCAGTAAAGATGCTAGACCAAGATTATTCTACTAAACCTGAAACTGACAGTGCTTCAAGTACTAAGGGAGATGACAATATTAAGGATACTTCAGACACTGGAAAAGATTCTTTTGAACAAACAGAGGAATCTGAAATAGACACAGAAGTTGAAGGTAACCATAGCAACTGTTGCCATGGTGTGGTTGCCCCAGCACTGGTCACATGTCCATAATCACCCCTATCACATTGTATGTCACATGGTATTAGTCAGACAAATAAGATATGTGTATTTTGTTTGCTACCATGAATCAAATTGAAAATTTATTCCTGAAAGAACAGGAATGATTTAAATCTTTAAAGTTTAATATTTGTTTGCATTGGTTTGATATGACAATTTTCTTTTACTATTTTACATAAGGTATTCAACAATGTATACTTAACCTAATTCTTAACTAAGAAATAATAGCTTTACATATGCATGCAATAGATTAGACTTTTAAAGACAGGATGTGTTTGTACTGTGAAAAAAACTCAGTTTTAATGGTATTTTTGTTCAAATGTTAAAAGTAATTCCTTTGGAGCAAGTTACTTTACAAAACATGTCTTTTATAAAGAAGTTTGATAATGTGAAAAAAGGCTTTACATGATTCATGGTTGTAAATACAGTTTGTGCAAGTCAGTTATTCCTCCTCAGTGTGTCTTCTCTATCCATCCAACCAGTTGTTTACAAACTATTTGAATTGTTACCATAGCCAGATCCTTTCACTGGTATTACATTTACCCTGCACTGGAGCTACCATATTCATGCACTGGAGCTACCATATTCATGCACCGGAGCTACCATATTCATGCACCGGAGCTACCATATTCATGCACCGGAGCTACCATATTCATGCACCGGAGCTACCATATCCCTGCTCTGGTGTTTATACATACTCCTGTTTACCTGTTACCATACCTTTGCACATCCCTGCACTTGTGTTTATATAATCGTACACAACATCTGCATGTATGGTACTGTATCCTATATATATATATGAATATACTTTGTATGTATCCTATTTTATCTCTGCTGTTACTATAATTCAGAAGTTGAAGGAAATGTACAACATCTCTTCGTGTACTCTCTGCATTGGTCTTGTTTGGTTTTTGCAATTATAATATCCAAGTATTCTTCATTGTTCTTTACCTGTAATCTATCCTAAAAATGTTGTTTTATACTTTTACTTTCCATATTCAAGTAATTTCACAATACATTTAGTTAGTTATACAATAAATGAATGTTTGAAGTGAAAGTTAAGCTTGGGTCAAAATATTGACATTTTGAGTCTTGCTGACCTAATTAGATTATCTTCAGCAGTAAATATAATGGCAGTGCCATTAATATAGTTACATACAATCAGATTTTTATTTGAATGATGGCCTATTTATTAGCTTGTCTGTTTAAAGAAAAAAGTTGAGCTATTATGATCACTGAGTCATCATTGTCATTACAGTCATTGTGCTTAAACTTAAATGTAGCCCATTATTCCAACATTTCAAAAGGTATTAACATTAAACTTGGAATACTTGCTTATCTTGACAAGGTGCAGTTGTTGGACAAGGGGTATATTTCTGAAAGCAATATTTTTTGAGATATGTACTGTTTGACTTCAGATGAACGCAGTGCTCTTTTATATGTTAAAACTTGAAAGTCCTTAAACCACCATAGGTCCATTCTAAATATAAAGCAGGACATGGGTATTAAATAGTTCACAGAATCTGTGGGAAAATTACAAACTGAAAAGAGAATATTAGATTAGCTCTTTTTTTTATTACCTTGAATTTCAACTAACTTATATACATATTTATAGCATGAGTTTCAAATGCTGTGTGTGTCTATAGTTACGCTATAACAATGATAGAAGAATAGATGTTGTAAATGATATTTATGATCTTTATACTGATAAAATATGCTTTATTTTGATATACTTACAGATGCATGGTAATTACATTTAGAAGATGTACACTTTTTCATATCTTTTAACATACTTTATATTTCTTCTCCTATTATCTATGTAGATTGATATTTCACTTCTAT